AAAAAAAAAAAAAAAAAAGAAGGAAGAAAGTAAATAAAAATAATATTCTTGAAGACTAGCTCAGTGACATCAAACCCGACATTCGTCAGCCATCAGTTCCTATTCCCCGGAAACGGCCTCCGTAGTTCCAGTGGCGCTGGCCCAGGAAATGTAACCCTAGATAAACATTCCTCCAACGATGTCATGACCACCAACAGCGGGGCAAACAGCTCAGCTACGAGACAAGTGCCCATGGCACCCATTCTTACTACGAGAACCCTTGTCCGGTGATTTCTGTAGCATTCGCGAATCCAAGCTTTGGCTCTAGAATTACAGTCTAACGCAGGTAACTCGGCTAGACTCCTTCTAGGCGATCTAGTTCTAGTATATCACCCCCAAGAATACACGCAACAAGGTAGATTCGTATCTTAGCAAGTGGTATGACATGGGAAAGGCTTATGCATCCTGCGATCGACTCGCGTACTTCTTCCACCAAGCTTGAATGGAGACACGAGAAACTGTCATATGACATGTGACCGATTACCTTGATCTGGGTTGGGAATTCTGCGATTGGAAAGCAAAAAACAAAGAGATTAACTTGTTTATGACAGCTACATTATGTATGTAAGCGTGGTTTTCTGTGGGTGTCTGCATAGTTCTGCTTGATATAGATTGCCGTTAAGCAAGGGCGCATGCGGGTATTTATAAGAAAAATATGATTGATGTCTGACAAACTGTTGTATCACCTGATGATGTAACCCTACATGCAGAGGTGACTTGACTATAGAACCACTCGCTAGGTATCGGCTTTTAATGACTAGGATAGCGATTTCCAATGGGAAGTAGATTATTGGTGTCTTTTACTGGCCGGGTCTTTTACCAGAATAGTCTAGAACAGGCAATAGTAGGTCTGTAAGGAGAGTCGCCACATCGATTCACATTAGCCGCGTTAGGCACACGGAGTCAACGCCTGTTTTGCATGAACTAAGGGTGATCAGGGCCCTTGGGGCGCTGTGTTCTGGCTGCGTCTCGGAATCTCGGGTACGGCTAGCGCCCTCATCGTTTACATTCCCTTCGTGTGTAAGGATTGCGCCACATGGGGGGCTCTGGCCACGTATTTTGGGGGTACTAGTATGGAATATGTAGAAGCTTTTAGCGGATATGAGTGTCCGGGTTCTGGAATCTGCCTGATGCAGTCGGTTACCAGATGACATGCAAGGAGCTTCTAGCATGGAAAGGGTGCAGCACGGCAGCTAGCCATTGGTGGAAGGATAGCACATGGGTACATGGACTGGACCTCGTTGGTGCCTCTTCACTGTTAGCTGCATGAGGGAAAAGTTAAAGGGAAAAGGGGCAAAGAAAGAGAAGGGAAATGATGGGCCGCGAAATGAACTATCAGGCGATCGGAGTGACCGAAGCATGAACTGGAGGCTATCGACCGAGTCATGTAATGATACTCGCCTGCCAAGGCTGCCTTCCAATACGTTTCACTTGTCAGACCTTCTGATCCTGTTCTTAATTGCCGTTGGTTCTTCATCATCATCCCTAGCTAAGCAACAGACCAGAGGGTTAAGCCTCGCTAAGATTTATCCAAGAAGCCATGGCGATGAGCGACCCGAGGTGGCGCAACCTAATTAGATTATCCCGGAAGGATTTGATAGTCAGCGTTTCTTGTTAGTCTGAAGCCCATGGAATGATTATGGTGCAGCGGTCTTTTTCTCTTTTCACCGGGCTCGTGCGAGCTACCATGTAAGCCAGGTATCAGGATAGGGGGATTCAGATGAGTGGGACGTGAAGGAGCCAATGTTTCAAGGGCTTCGACGCATGTGTTTGATAGTATGGGACCATATGATTATTTGGATCAGCAAGAATGCTTCAAAATACGTAGAACGGAAACATATCTCCACTATCAAACACGAGAGGTCGATTGACATGACTGGTCCGGTGGTCATTAGGGGGTTAAAGATGTCTACTAAGCGCTCAATCGTGCAGTCTTTTGCTTCCTCATGACGACACGAGTATATTGATTCCTTCTTACTGATTGGTTTGGCGGTAGGATAGAAACTTAATGAAGCCATGGAACTCTTCCTTGAAGCGGCAGGACCAGCAGAGCTGGTAGTAATATCCGTAGTGAATAAGCTGCAAGGGGAGAGGTGACCATGTGGTCTGCTATCAGAATGCGGTTCCGTCAACTTTGACCAAAGCAAAGGGGGAGAGGGTCCACTTCGCGATCATTATCATATCTAACAAAGGCTCTCCGCACTTATCAGCGTGCCACGGGGAACGTGGTCGCAGCGGGCATTCTGACTGGTTGTTGGACCCCGGACCAGTGCCAAGATGCCATGCAGGTGGCTTATCCACTGTCCAGGCTAAAAATGAGATAGACTTTATCCACGAGTAGGTACCGGCCCGTCAGCAAGTATGTGTTCCGGTCTCAGTCGTGAATTGGTGTTCATGGAAGCCGGGACTTGAGTTCATTCTTTCCCTTGGCATGCAAGAGGGAGGAGACTTTGGTTTTTGGTGGTGTGACCATCGCTAGAATAGGCAGAAGACGGCACACGAGCAGATACTAGTTTGGGAAACTCCCTTTACGTTGCTCAAGATCGGGATAGTTGTTGTACAAGTGTACGTACATGCAGTCGTAGTCCTCGACCATTATACGTGATGCAAGGGTAACGACGGGCACGGGATCGTGCACGGATAATCTGCGTGTCTCAAACCGTACCGAGGAGTAAAAAGAGGTGCCTAATAATATCAATTAACTCAATCAACGGAAATTAGATCATATTGTCAGGTACTGCTCTGTGGAATAAGCTCCTATGACTATGACATATCCAATCCACCGAGGGCAGAGCACGGATACCGTTGAACATCCAGGGAACTGACGATGGGTCTCAGGCGCATCCATAATTATCATTATCACCAGACTAATTTCCCCTCTTGGAGGTCAGAAGTCGTGCCGGATGCCGGAGAAAACAGAGAAAGTATTAGATGACCGACAGTCTCAGTGGGCGCGTGCAATGGGAGGGAGAATGATTGGCGGAAGGGAAAACTGGGGGGAAAACTTCATGCAGAAGGCGGTGGTGGGGGATCTGCTGGATTCTGCCACCACGTGCATCAATCATTGGACGATGGCGGAAGTTGATCCACGGAGTCTAAATGTAAAAAAGAAGAAAAAGAAGCTCCGCCTTCCGCGCTTGTAACGTGGTTCCGCCATTTTCCACTGTACAGGTTTAGTGGCTTTTTACGGATTTTTTACTTTTTTACTTTTTTTTATTACTTTTTTATTACTTTATTTTATTTACTTTTTTTTTTTCTTCCTTCTTTGCCAATTCCGGTTCAAAAAAGTCCTCCCCCAAAACGAAAAGAGAAAAACGTGCCCTAAAGGGAACCAGTCATTAATAATTACCCACATCCACACACACACTCATTCACTCACTCCACCCCACGGGCGAACGTCGGTTCTAGGCAATGTCATCCACTAGGAAAGCTCCGGTTTTGCTATTGGCCTTGATGGGCCCTTCCTTCTCGGACCAGGCGAAACTCTACTAAGTGTGGATGGTCCGCTGAATTTCCACTGACAAGACGACTGTCGCTCTTGGCCCGGCGTGGATCCTCGCCACTACTCTGGATCTAACCAGACCTGCATTGGCTTATCACAAACCGCCATTCGGCCATGTGCCTGGGTCCCGAAGGCGGGCTGGTGGAGGGTTGCCTCTGCCCAGAGAAATTTCGGGTGCTCTTGTCCGTTTGCATATAAGTTAACCTCGCGCCTGTCCGACTTGGCCTGCATCGTGTGTCAACGCCTCACCACGGTCATCTTCATTTCCTTAGGGGTACCAAGAGTGCTTAACCAGCTCTCCAACCTCTCATCTCGCAGGCCAAGAGCAACCATTGCCATAGTCGCTTCCTGCCCAGCTTCACCTCTCGACGACTAGATGGCCGACTTTGGACCTCGTGCCCCCCATGGGCCCGATATGTCGGGGAGTCACAATCCTCTTGAGGACATGGATCATCACGAGAAGGGTGCTTTCGACGCGTTGATTCGCCCCGATGACAGCTATACCCCAGACGGTACCTACTGGGCCGATTTGCCCATGTTCCAGAAGCTCAAGTTCGTGAGCTCCTACGATGCGAAGGAAGCCAAGCGCGAACTAAGCGGCATCTGGGAAATGACCAAGCAAGATCCCTTGTCGCCGATCTCCTATTACTTTCGGAACATGGTGCTTCCCGGTGCTGGTCTAGGTCTAGAGGGGTAAGTAACTTTCTCCATCGCGAACGCCTCAGAACTGGTCGGACGCTAACTCATGAGCGCTCTAGTTACGTGCTCTTCTCCATCGGAAACGTCAAGCCCCTCTTCCAGGCCGCCTTCAAGTCGTGCTGGAAGGACCATGAAATTTGCAATGCACAATGGCTTAACGCCATCGACTACCTCGAAATTATCGGTATCATTGTGGGTCAGATCTTAGTCGGTGTCATCGGTGATTGGTATGCACCTCTCTTCTATTGGATGCTTATGATTGGTCGGAAATGGATTTTCTAACCGGGTTTTAGGCTTGGTCGTCGTTGGGGTCTGATTCAGGATGCTACCATCATGTTTATCGGTTTGATCATGCTTACCGCTGCTTGGGGTGTGACCCAGAATGGCTGGGTGATCTGCTACGCTTGGTCGCTGTTCTTCTACGGTATTGGTGTTGGTGGTGAATATCCCATGACCGCAACCAGTGGTATGGAAAATGCCGTTGGCTCTGGAAAAGTCTCGACCAAGGAGGACCGTCTTCATCGTGGTAGGAAGGTCACCAGCGCTTTCTTGATGCAAGGCTGGGGTCAGTTCTTCAACCAGGTTATTCTCATCATCTTGCTGCTCTGCTTCCACCATGGCAGCGGTAACCCTCCTTACTCGTCTGTGTCCGCTCAATGGGTGTACCGTATCTCCTTCGCCATTCCTGCGGCGGGTACTTTGTGGCTGGTCTACTACCGTGCCTACCATATGAAGGCTGCTAGCAAGCAGTTGGCGGCGGCCAAGAAGAAGGCATCCGTCACCGGTTATGATTTCAACTCTCTTGCACTGACCTTCAAGTACTTTGGACCCCGTATCCTGGCGACTGCTGGTGGTTGGTTCGCCAACGATGTGTTTTTCTACGGCAACAAGCTCTTCCAGTCGGAATTCATCTCGGTTATCAGCCCCTCCTCCAAGTCGATCATGCCAACCTGGCTGTGGAACTTGTGCAACGTGGGTGTCTCGCTGGTCGGCTACTATCTCGCCTCGTTCCTGATCGACAACAAGCTCTATGGCCGCAAGTGGATGCAGATGGTCGGTTTCCTGATGTGCTTCGTCCTCTTCGTCGTTCCCGCCTTTCACTACAAGTACTACACCTCGCCGGAGCACATTAAGGAGTTCCAAACCATGTACTTCCTGAGTTCCTTCTTCAACCAGTTTGGCCCTAACTCGGTCACCTTCCTGGTCGCCGCCGAGGTCTTCCCAACTCCTATTCGTGCCACCGCCCACGGTCTCTCTGCTGCCGCCGGTAAGGCTGGTGCCCTTTTGGCGTCGGTTTTGTACAACTACATCGACACGCAAACCAAGTTCTACGTGGTTCCCTGGTTCGGTCTTGCGGGCATGGTTCTGACCTTCGTTTTCCTCCCCGACACCACTGGCCTGGATCTTAAGGAACAGGAGCGTCGCTGGCAGTACCTCCGTGACGGCCGTGAGCACGAGTACCACGGCCCTGCTGTCCACCCGAAGCACTTGTCTCTCTGGGAACGCTTGATGGGCAAGGGCAAACTCTATGATGCCGATGCCGATTACAAGCAGAAGGTTGAGGAGTACCGTGCCGAATGGGAGTCTGCCATGGCTGCTCGTATCTCCGAGAAAGAGAAGGGTGAAGAGCTCGCTATGGATACCGACGAGAGCCTCTTGGAAGGACACGTTCATGCATACTTCCATCGGACTAGCCCCATGTTCCGTCCGATGGAGCAGAATGCGAAGTCGGATAACTTCGCCCTGCCTCCCGCGGCCCACGAAGATGACTCGACCGCGTCTTTCAACGAAAAGTCTGAAAAATCCACCTAATTGCTTTTATACCCATTTGCTGAGTTTCCTTTGACTGTTTTGGGATGTGGCATGTTCTTCAGCATGAAATCCTCTCGTCTCTTTACCTGTATAGCTTAATTTCTCTTCTTTTGTGATGTTGTTGAATCGGTCGACGAGAGCAATGTGCATTGAGTGCTGTGAATACCCGCGTATATAGTATAGACTTGCCTAATGTTGCATACCCCAATCAATAGCGTGCTGGATCATCATCGTTATCTTCCTAATAAATCTCCGACGTAGTCTCCGATTCATAAAGCTTAATATTCTCCGCCCCAAGTACCTTCAGATCAGGTGACCGTTCAACGGCGATCGATTCCACACCACAAACAGTAGGCGGTATCCCAAAAATATACTCAAAACAACTACTTCTCAGACAAGAAACCCCACCATACCATCATAGAATGTACTGACATTGTGCACCTTCTCTCTGGATATCAAAATCAATGAAAGTACACCATCTAGACACATAAACACATTTCAACATAAACTCAGCCCACCTCAGCGGCTCCCACAACCGCATAAAACCATGCCCCTCTACGCCTTTGGATCCAATGGATCCGGCCAATTAGGCATCGGGCACGACGAAGACGTTTCAATACCCACTAAATGTTTATTTGAAGGCTCAGAACCAGATATTTTACAATTAGCTGAAGGAAAATCAATCAATTACATTCGTCGCATAGCAGCAGGTGGAAACCATACCCTTCTTCTATTCTCCGATGGAACCGTGTACGCAGCGGGGTGTAACGACGATGGGAGATGTGGTGTTGAGCCCGGAGATTCCTTGATGAGATTCCGGAGGGTCGTTGTTCGGGATGATGGGAGTGGGCAGTCTTGCAAGACGTTCAGGGACGTTTCGGCGTGTTGGGAGGGGACTTTCCTTGTTGCTGCCGAGGGAGATAGGGTGTTTGTGCTTGGGTCTGGGCCGAAGGGGGAATTGGGGCTTGGGGAGGGGTTGGTGCGGGCTACTGAGCCTGTGCCAGTTAAGGGTTTCCCGCCGTCTGGGACAGAGGTTGTGAGTGTTGCGAGTGGGATGGGACATACGGTTGTTGTGTTGTCGGATGGAGAGGTGTATGGGTGGGGTGCGGCGAGGAAGGGGCAGCTTGGGGAGGCGGCGAAGAGGAAGAAGATTGTTTGGGAGCCGGTTAGGGTTGAGGGGGTGCCGTTTCGGGCGATGGGTGCAGCTTGTGGGCGCGAGTTTACGGTTGTTACGGGGGATAGGACCAAGGGTGAGTTTGTGATCTTGGGCTCCGCGGATAATAGGTGGAATGTTTTGTCTGATGTGCCTCCCGCTTTGGGGGCGTATCGTGGTATCTGGGCTAGTTGGCATGGTGTCTATGTACAGCAGGATGGGGGTGTTTTGGCTTGGGGGCGGAATGATCGTGGTCAGCTTCCGCCGGTGGATTTGCCGACTGTGAGGGAGTTGGCGGTGGGAAGTGAGCATGCTCTTGCTTTGCTTGAGGGTGGCACGGTTGTGGCGTTTGGTTGGGGGGAGCATGGGAATTGTGGGCCTGTTGCTGATGAACAGGGGAATGTGAAGCAGAAGTATGCTTTGATTCCTCTTCCTATGGAAGAGGAGTCCCTTGTAGTCGGTGTTGGGGCCGGTTGTGCGACTAGCTGGGTTATCATGTCGTGACCTGCGCATGGTCTCGCAGGGAGAGGAAGTAGATCTGTTTACTTGATTTCGGGTACTGGATGATGGGCCATGGCTGGCGGCCTTCATCCAGCCAACATGTAATTGGAGAAAGAGTCTAATACCCTCAGTCGAAGAGACCAAGACCGTGAAGCTATGGAATGTCAGCGCGGTTCTTGTGGCGGAGCGGGACCGTCTTACCTGTGATATACGTTGCGTCGGGGGGATACCCATATCTTCGTCATGGCTTGTGTCTTGGTGAGGCATGCTGGGCTCATTATCTCGCAAGCGGGGGGCGAGACTCTCGTCGAATGTCTGCTAGCTTTGATCAGCAATGCGCCTGGGCAGATCGGTTCTATTTGCCATACATGATCGCCAGTTGCATCCCAGCCAAGTCTGTCTTCGGCTTCTTCTTCCTCTTCGTCGTTCGGTACATCCCATTGCCTGTCGTCATCTGCTGGTACGAACAGGCTGTCGAATTGGATGGATGCAGGGGGCGGCCGCTGGCTTTGGGTGTTCGTCTCTGTGCCACGAACGGAAGCTCCAGGAGTCCCGGTGAGCGGACGAATAGATCGGGCGCGGGGTGGAGGCATATGGTTCGTATTGGAAGTAACGTTCGCTCGACTGACACTGACTGGAGCAGGCGTCTGCCTTGCCGACAATTCTGGCGCACGGGATGAATCTGGAATATCGCTATTGGCGTCTCCTGTTGTCATCAGAGTAAATTCAGTCTTCACGCCCCCGAAATCGTACGCAAGCTGCAAGGGCCGCGTTGGGCGTGTGTATCGAGCTGTGATTGTTGAATGTGCAGACTCAGCATGCGCTATTACCGCCTTGAAGTCTTTTAAGGTGATGGCAATGTGGAGATTGTCTTCCGCTAGGAAATATTCAAAGTCCTTTTTGTCGATAGCCACTGATGTATGAACCGGCTTCTTGAGAATCTCTGTGGGACGTTAATCAGAGCACTGCTATAAAGGCTAATGAATGAACCAGACCTTTTCCATCTGTGATCTTCGTAGTAAAGCTAGTGAAAACCGCCTTGCCGTTTTCAGAGTAAATGTCTAGCTGCTCTGCAGAGGGGCTGAAATGATCTGTTATCTCTCTTAGAAATCTAGGTTCTATGCTCCACTGATTTGTCGTTTTCGTCCTGTCAAAGACGGCATGGTTAACCGTAGTAGGCTCATAAGTGAGCTTATAGGACTTGATGACCCCTAAAAGGAATGTCAGTGAACCCATAGAAAGACGGCCTTTACCCTGATGATTTCATTTGGTTACTTACCAAGTCCACATATCATCTTAATGGCCAGTCTGCATTCGGTTTGATCCAGGTGCTCATGCAACTCAACTTCGCAGCGTTCAACTGCGGTATCCTTATCTCTGGTTCTCCCCTTGAAGACCGAGAGCAATGCCTTCAGAATGTCAGTGTCAAGAGCATCACTAAATGCAACTCCCCAGAGGTTCTCACCTTGATATACAGTTGACAGCAGAATCTATCGGGGCGGCCAGTCCTAGATGCTCTACTACCCCGTGGCATGTCAAAGGAGTAGGACTCAAAGAAGGTGTCCGCCTCAAGGACAAAGGCGGCATACGCTGTTTTAGTAGAATTGAGCACACTCAGACGAAGCTGGACTCTTCGGTTAGTTAAGATGTACTTGAAAGATACATGACCCTACAAGTCCGGGGGGACTAACCAGATCGAACTCGGCCTCGATGGCTACCGTCTCATGGAACTTGGCAAGGCACATCAGTGCATCGTGCAGCTGGTACAGCGCCTCGGGGGCGAGAGAAAATGATAAAGCGGCCATATCTCTTCAGTGGTGATATTCTACCTGGATTTGCCAGCCTCTATACCTGCCACTGGTATCAGATAAGAACTAGTAAAAAGACCAAAAGTTCTGGACTCGGACCAGTTGCATGAAATCCAAACACGAACGCGAGCTTACATAAGCGACACAGCATTCCTGGGCTCAACCTTACAAGATTAAATACAAGTTCTGATAGTGAGAAGCATTGGGCCGATCATCGCTGTTGACTGATCGTTTTATGTCAAGATGACCTTCGCGTTATTCAATGATTTTCTCTACATCATTTTCCAAATTCTCGGAGATCAGTACGACTACAACAGCCGGTCTTGAAGATGTAGAGAATGCTGCGATTCGCAAATGGGCTGCCATGTGGCGCTCCATAACGCTGTCTGTCTTGGAGCATACGTATTTGCCTTATTATAGTTATATTCACTATCTGGACCTGGAAGGCCTATGGCACCTTCTTTGTGATCTGTACACTGACAATAATAAGGGGTTGGTTAGCTGTGTCACTCGGCGACGATTCTCTGACGATGTATAGAGCATTCTTTACCCCGGAGATTGATGACTATTTGTCTCCTGCATATTGGATGAAAGGAAACAGGTGGCTCCGTTCCTCTGCCAAATCATTTGATAAAGACTTTGTTCTGTTGACAATCGGCTCGGGTCAGTTTCCCCTTGTCTTGATAAGCCTGCGTTATTCACTCTCTAATTCTATAATAGTTATGTGTACCGCGCTGAGCTAATAGTAGTAAAGCAATCATCAAAGAGTCAACGTCGGTAAGGGCAATGTCCTGCAATGGTAGGTTATATCATTACAACACATCGCACTAGGAGGCACCTAACTGGATATCAAGTGCAACCCTCCGAGCTAGCTGAATTCCTTCAACAATTACCCTCTCTCCAAACACTAAGTGTCTCGTCCGGCGCCTCTCTTACGGATCATGTGAGAGACACGATCCGAAACCATTGCCCCGACCTTAAACAACTCACAATACACTCATGGTATGGTCCTGTACAATGCCTCTAGCCCAGTACTGCTTACGAGCATTCCACTACTAGGGATGGTGAACAGCCTAGTAATGCAGAAGCGGACTCGGAAAATTTTCTAAATGGGCTGCGACCTAACACTCTGGCGTATCTCTAAGTATCCAGCCATTCCCACCTAGGACCCCGCATGATTAGGGCCCTGGGCTCACATTGGAACTCACTAAGAGAACTCAAGCTGGCTTATCTCGGGATCACAGCAATCAACGAGTTGCTCTCACTAACCGTACCACCAGCTTTAAAGGTCTTAGTATTAGAAAATACTATAAATGTGGGCTACATTGAAGCATGCTCCCAACTGACACCCCGAGTCGCGGGTTGGATAAGCAGCTGTAAAGCCCTACAGCAACTCGAGCTCAAACAATTCATGGACGACGAACTTATACTCGCACAAGCCCTCCTCGAGAAGAGCCTCCGTCTATCCAGCCTCTCATTAGCAGGCTACAGTATACGAAATGCCAGTCTCTTCCACGAGGCCCTGCACCACCAGCCATCACTACAAAATCTGTATCTGAAAGGCGAAGGAAGCGACAAACCCGAGCACAACAAATCCCTGTTTCAGGCTATCAGCCAACTAAACAATCTCCGCGATCTAGAGCTCGAAGGCGTATCGGACGGTTTCACCACCGACGACGTAATAGCACTAACACCCCTCTTCCCCAATCTCGAACGACTCAGTATCGGCGGCAAATATTTCCGCGACGACATATGGAATGCATTCCTCTGTCTCCCTAAGCTCAAAAGCCTCCTCATCCTCGGCCGCAGTGAATTCAAAGCCAAGGGCGTTCTTGACTTCATCGGCCAGCTAGGACCCGGAAACAGAGGTTTCAGTTTGTCCATCTTAAAATCGACGATCGACACGAATATCCACGAGTTTGCCGAGGCTTATATTCGTGATGCCCTGATATCTAAACTCGGTGGATACTTCGATTTTGCCCTGGAAGACCCATGTGGGTACCAAATTTTTTTTTTCCTTTTCTCTTTTCCCCTTCTTCTTTGTCTCTACCATACTAGATCCTGATCCTGATCTACTGATGATCTCTTCCAGAAGAGGAATTTGAGACGGAATCCGAGATAGAATCCGAGGACGATATTTCCGAATGAATATTCGTGACGGGTGGACAGCTATAGTACCTAGGACTAAGACCTTAGATCAAGACTTGTTTTTTTTTTCTTTATTCTATTACGTCAATAAGTACTACTGCGTACAATACCTTTGCTTCCGTGGAGAATCGTACGATTCCAGAAACTGAGCGAAATGTAGCCACTTAATCCGAAAAGGTCACCGTTGGGACTGGAGAAACTCCACATTTTTATGGGGTTGTAAGCTGTACCCCATACACTATTGTATTTTAACATTTCATGGCGCTTGGCGAAGGAGTACCGGCTTGTTTAGCAGGTTTTAGTTTCTATGACCCACTGGGGGGGGTTAGAAATAAGGTGGCTGGGAGTGAGGGTAATTTATTTGTTGAAGATTGATGACGATGTCGTAGGGCTGGTGGAGTTTGTGGAAGTTGATGGTGACTATATCTTAGTGTTTTAAATTATCGCCAGTTTTATAACCTATATTCGAGGAAGTTATATAATGCTAATAGATGTTTCTTATTAAACGAATGATTACCTATCCATATTTAAAATAATTGAAATACCTAATTACCTGGAAAGAGTAGCTATAATTGAACAAATAGTCTATAACGAAATGCATTACTCCATAGGACCCCCGCAACCAGCGCTGAAGAACTAGAATTTTGGAAAGAGCTATGCATCTGCTCGCACAGAATCAGGCTCGTAGCCCGGCTGACGTGTGAACTGTGGAAATGTTCAAGATTGAAAAAATTATTGTATAAACGTAGCCTGAGTGAGGTTGTGGTATTGATTATCGAACCTGGATATAGATCTAAATACCAAAAGTAATGCATTCCTCGAAGAGACAGTTGCGAATTTGGCATCTGCCATGAAACAAGAGACTATTGATGAATTGGCTGTTGTAGGCCGTGACCTTCGGGTGTCCACCACCATCGTCCACCGGCTGCGTAACAGCAAACACATCTCGACCGACCATCCTCTGTTGATTGATCGCTTTGACGACACTCAAGGTCTGATAAACCGGGAAAGCTCCTTCTTCTGTTGGCTGCAGATCCTGCAGCGTTTGTAGCCAGGTTTGGATCTCCAAGCCGACAGAGAGACTCTGGCATCGAAGAATCCCCGCCAGTAATAAACCCGAGAACCCAATTGTATAACTGTTTCGGGTGAGAGACGTCCGCATCTCTGCACCTTGCGCAATCTGTACTAATGTCTGCACCCAAAGCTCCGCTTTGTAGCATTCATCTTCGTGGCCTGGAGTGGTTTGATTGTATAGTTCTCGCAAGAGACTTGTACACTGCATTATACGCGCTACTATGTAGTAGGCGTAGTTTAGCGCTGCGTCGTGAGATTGGAAATGGATTGCCGTGCCTCTCGTACCATTGGGTTCGTAAATAGGCTGCTCAGATGGTGGAAGGTGCAACAGCCACTCGTCTAATTTCGTAGCCTCTTGGCACAGGAGAGAAACGCATTCAGCGTAGCCCTGGCTATTTTCATGTTCAACCTCTTCTTCGGACGCTACTTTCCTAAAATGTTGGAGCACGGCTTTAAAGTTCAGTCGATGTGATTCACACATGATGCTTAGTACCTTGACACGTCGTTCGTGGACTGTACGGGGTACTTCTTTCAGTGAGATGGGCAAGGGAATCGACGGTAACTGCTGATGTATATCCAGCGAGCTGAAATAGGCACGAGCCCACCACACAACGTACCGAGTCTGCATCCATGATGTGAGGAGGGGCTTGATGGTCACGTCTCCGGCTCCTCCACGCCACCCAACAAGGAGATTCATCATCCCTTGCACATGGCAATAAAAGCCCTGAAAATTGCCCATTGCCGACTCTAGGTGAGCGAATAGAACAAGGACAATAAAAACAACTGTGGCATCATGGAAATAGTCGGCTACTTTCATTGTGGTCAGTTTCCTGATTGCCGATGAGTAGTACAGATGACTTCTTGTTTGATGAGTGAGACTGGGACTCAATGGTCCCGTCAGTCCAGTTGAAGATGTTTTGCGTTCACTGTAGAGACGGCTGGTGTTACAAGAGGATAGAGCTAGGATAGCGTCGTTGAGGATAGGATAACCCGCGGTCAACAGAGTGGCAGAATGGAACATTGGGTGCAAGGCTGGTAAGCAGCAATCCTCCCAATACGTAGAGTAGAAGACATCTCTCTCAGTTGTTTGCAATGATTTAACTATATCATAGCCCCCTATCCGGGGCTCATCTTGCTCAGCTTGGATAGAAAGTCTCTCGTTCCCTGCCAACCTTGGCTTCCTCTCTGTCGACGGAGTGCCATATGAGGATAATAGCCTTTTTGTATTCTGCGCAGTTATGATCTGGAACTTGAGCACGGGTTGAACATATTCACAGCACTTGTCCAGTCTTGCGCAGGTTCCACATGTTGGCTTCTGCTCATCACACTTTATGCAATGTTAGCGCCGTAATAATCGCAATTCTATGCAGCAATTCAACCTTTGTTCTTCGGTTGCGACAGCTTTTACAGCCATTGCGCGAACGTATAATGTTTGTCTTTCTCGGTCTAGGAGGTGCAGGCTTGTACATATGGTAGAATAATTCTGGTGGTGTGTTTTCTGATGCTCTCGGAATACATGAGTCAGTTGATGATGGACGTAATTATTTTATCCGGTAACCCCAAAGCTAATCCTGATTAGGAAGAACTGTAGAATGTGCTTCCAAAAGAGAAGCTAGAACGGTAAATGGCCAAATCACGAGGTGCTTATTTAATATTAGACATGCTATAATGATAGTGGATATAATCAAAGTTATACTGGACAATCTGACCATACCCTCTTTTCAACAAGACTCCTAAACTTATACATCAAAGTCCTTCAGTAGCCGACAACTTCGTAAAGCCAACTAGTACCCTTCTTTCGCAGCTTTCAACTTCTCCTTCTTCTTCTCATCATGCATCTCCCCTCGCTCCTTGACCAACGTTGAGATAGCCTCTCCAGTTTCCCCTCCCAGGTTTGCAAATCCCCTAACCACCCCATCCCGATCCCCCCGTCTCATCTCCTGACTCATCTTAAACTTGCCCTCAATCTTGCCAATCTCAATCTTGATCCCCACGATATTCCTCTGCATCAACTCAATATACCGCTCCGGCGCATCAGCAACCTTCCACGGCTGTGGCCTATCCCCACCCGTAAACCCCATAATCGTTCTCTCACATTGCTCCGACAAATCATGCATCTGTTTCATCAGGAACGACCCTGCCTCCGGAGTCTTGGAGTCGTAGTAGAGAGACAACTTCCCATAGATCTGAACTGCGGAGTAGTTCCAGGTCGGTACGACTTTGCCGGTGTCCGGCTTGGTCTCCGTGTAGTATTTGGGAGTCACGTAGTGATGGTGCTGTCCATTGAAGATTACCAGGACATCCTCGTCAAGGGATAGAACACCTGGTGACTTGCCGTCGACTGCCTCGAGCATGGCCTTCACTTGGGGGTTCTGCTTCGCGATGTGGGCGCAAAGTTGGGGGGTGGATGATTTGTTGTCTCCTGTGCCGGGGAGGTCAAGCACAAATGGGACATGGGTGCATTGTAGGAAGTCCTGTGAGGAGGAGTTGATGCCTGTGATGAGAATTCCTAGGGGGTTCTCTTGGATGAATTTAAGAAGGACGTCCGTGTCGGATTCTGCGTGTACACTGGGAAGGAACATGATTAGATGATTTAGATCTCGAGGGGATCTATTCGAGAATGAATGGGAACGAAGAGTCAAAATCTTGGAAAATGAGACGGGTTTATATAGTTACTGCTGACAGTTTTTAGTCACTGTTTTTCAATCCATTTCTGAGTTGGCCAGACATAGTCAGAGACTAGAGCATGATAGAGGCGGCAAATCGAGTCATAGAAGCGGATCCAAAATCTCTCGCCAGAGAGTCAACAAATTCAGATGGCTGACCCATCATTGTCACAGGCCTGATGTTTCTTTTTGTCGACAGTCTACCGGATATGAGAAGAAGACTCCATTATGACTTGGTATTACTTTTCATGCTGATGATGGAGATTCCGATTCCTGATTGCCAAGGTATACATCGGCTATCCTCATTGGCTCATCGTTCCTGATCACCATATCCGGTAATTTGTGGGGCTTGTCTAGGCATATGATTGGAGAACTGGAAATCCACTTCGGAACCTATTCACTAAATCTGGATTAGCGCAACATATACCTAGTAGCGAAAAGCGATAACTACCAACCAACTATGGTCTTTCATCGCACGGTTCAGAGTAGGTCTCAAGTAAAAAATTCCAGGGCTAACAGTGCATGGATGAAATTCTTCGCCTCTGGTGGATTTATCTTACCATAAACAGTGTGCAATTGCGATGCCCCATCGGCATGAACAATCTGGCTCTATTCCACCCAATGCAGAATCGAATAGAAGACAACATGAGAGAGCAGAGAAATGATCTATATAAGCATGCATAAGAGCCCATCTAAGCACTCAAACAAGAAAATCGAACAGATTCAAGTCTCTGACCCATTTATACTTAATCCAAAAACCATCCAGCACAATGAGCAGCCCAGAACCACTGCATATCGCTGTCCTCGTCAACACGCCCCCTAATAACGAGTTCTGGAATGACGTGCGCAAGTCATATCATGCTGCCTTTCGAGGTGTTGCACCCGACGCCCAGATTGACATGTATGACCCTGTCTTCCAAGGCAACTTCCCTGATCCCCAAGTATACGACCTGATCGTCCTGAGCGGAGGCAAAGCGGATGCCTCCTCTTCTGAGCCCTGGGTTCTGGGCGTGCTAGATTTCCTGCGTGAGACAGCGCGGGAATCACCCAAGACCAAGATCCTCGGTATCTGCTGGGGTCACCAGGCTATCTCAAGGGCGTTCGGTGGAGAGGTGCGAGCTGTGCCTACGGGTCCAATTGTAAGTACATTCATCTGGTTACTAACTCACCAGAGAGAACCATAAATCTCATACTCGTTCTATTCTAGGCTGGCCTTGAAGACGTGAAGTTGACAGAAGCCGGGAAGAAATTCTTTGCTTGCGCCCCAGACATTAACTCTTATGTGCGTCTTTCGTTGATCTCCCTTCCGTCGACTTTCCTGTTAACGAACCCCTCCAGAGCCTGCCAGAGTTTCATGTACGGGAGGTAGCAAAACCTGGATTAGGATTTATTCACTTGGCTGAAAACCATGAAATGTTTGTGAATCAAGAAAATACGGTCTTGTCGTTCCAAGCACATCCAGAGGTCGAGGCCGCACTCGCCAAAAAGTTATTGTTGGAAGAGGACGATGTTTACAATGGCAATCTTTCTCAGCAGAAACTAGAGGGTCATTTGAAAAAACTCGATCAGCCAACGGATGGGGTTGAGGTGCTGAGACGGGTAATTGAATGGGTGAAGGAGTGAAGCACGATTGCGATGTCAATTTGGAGATGGAATAACGGCTTTTTAAGAAACAGTATTATCTCAGGTTCCGTTGTAGAGAAATATACAAAATAGTCATTCTATATTGGAATGTGTATGAGGGTAAAGGCAATACATCTGGTGAGGAAACATCAACAAGTGATGGGAAATACAAGTATTGGTCTTTGTTAACGTCCAACCAAGTAGCGGAGATATCCCAAAGATAGATTTACCAGCAAAGATTCCAATTAGCCAATACTGACATAATGAATCAATATTCTGATATAAATAGCAGGATATAGAATGTGAGACCTCATTTGAGGCTTTCAGAGGGTCAGGCGCCCCGTCTTTCGTTGACGACCGAAGTCTAGAACTTGAGGCGCGCCACGTACAATGTGGAGATAATCTACCGAGCTCCAATTATTCAATCCCCAGGCTATAAATATAGAAAGTTGTCTCTCCTGGTAAGTCCCGTGGCTCATCATGGACTGAAGACAGTGGAGTAAACACTCGGCACCAAGTATGCGCTAGGGAAAGACCCTGAATAGCAACTAATGTCTCCCTACGTGACCGTGCATATCAAGAAGCTTGCCAGCAAAGCTTGGGTCTATAGCACTCTAGCTCTGCAAGATCACACTATCGATCGAGTCACATCGTAGTAGTTATGCACACGGATGAGGCGGAGTAAGTGAAACATGCGTCTGCGCCCGCATAAAATCTGTCCACACATACATTACAGTAAGTACTACTACTATTTATTGATACGGGCCGTCAGATTTTAGGGAATCATGCACTGCCTTCTAGTGTACAAGAATAGAACCAACACTCCACTACATTCTCCATGTAGATCTACACAGTACAGACTACAGTTGGACTATCCACTCCAAACCCATTTATAAACCAAGTTTTATCCCGAGGAAAAATAAACCAGTCTTTCCAGTCTTCAGTCTGACGATCATTCACACCGCTACCCCACAAACTAAACTATTTTAACCAACCTCTCCCCCCCAAACCCCAACCCCAACCACATTGATTTATTTACTTTACTATTTAATAACCACCACCTCCTCGTCCTCCTCCACCACCACCACCACAACCACAACCACAAACCCATAACTCCAGAACAATTACCACAAAACAATTCACCATAAATCTATCACCACAAAAACAACCCTCAAAATGCTCTTCACTACCATCCTTGCCTCCACCATTGCCCTGGGAATGGGCGTCTCCGCAGCTCCCACAGCCAGTCCCTCTCCCAACCCCAACTACCGCTACGTCCAGCTGCGCGTCTACGGCGCACCCGGCTGTTCGGAACTAAACCAGGGCGAGTTGGGAGTGTACGGCGACAGTCTTAACAAGTGCCAGACCTTCAACGACAACACCATCAAGTCTGTGCGCTTCGAAGCCAAGTATCAGGACAGCTGTACTGGTAAGTTATCCCAGCATCTCTCTCTCTCTCTCTCTCTCTCTCTCTCTCTCTCTTCTTTTTTCCTCCTTTCCCTTTTTCTTCGTTTTATTATTTCAAAACAGTATCTATTGTGGCAACACAAACTAACATAATCCCAGTGGCTCTCTACGATGACGTCACCTGCCAAACTAATCGCCGCGAAGTCCAGGTTGAGACCTGCCTTTCCGGTGACGACTCTGAACAGTTCCGCAGCTATATTGTCCAGTGTCCTGGTGTCTAAGTCAGGGATCTGGACTTGCGTGTGCTCTCTCTCTCTCTCTTTTTTAAATCGCTTTATGTGAACGTTATGAGAAGATGTCTTGGCGAGGTGGTTACGATTGGTATTTGATATGATATTATGTACAGCGTGTATCTAGTCTTATAATAACTTATATATAATTATATAATTATGATTATGATTTATGGGATTTTGCTTGTCTTTGAAGCTCTTAGAGGTATATTAATACCACTATGTGGAAATAAAAATTGGCATGCGTGGTTAGAAAATTGAATCATTTTGATCGTTTGGTCGATTTAGTCCTCCCTACGGCAGTCTACATCTACGAGACGGTCAAAATGAAAATTTAACCCTAGTCGAAACGTTGGAGAAACGTATGTGTTCTCATTTCTTGCGCAGCGTCATATGGTTACAGAAAATGTAGAACAATTGGTGTTTTCCAACGAAACAAAATATCCATGAGAGACGTCCATCTTCTATAGCTTCACGTCAACTTTCATAGGAACTGCACTCTCTTCCAACGCTGCATAAAGACTCTCTTCTAAATCAATAAGAAGACTAGTGATAGCAGCATCTCCCAGTGGCATAACTTGCGTAAATAACGTGGCTGCGATGCCCGTTTGCCGATCGATCCACTACAGTCAATGCAATATGAATTAGTAAATTTATCCCCATACTCAACATGTAGACTGATTGCAAAGTCTCAACAACAATTCACTATTGACTTGAACACTTACCCAGTGCAAATTCGGCAGCCCACTCCAGTTAACCGTGCCAGCTCGTCTCCGGCCAGCAATATCCTTCAATGTAATTGTTCCGGCGAGCGAATGATCCGCCTGCTGGGTATCCCTAGCGTCCCTAATTCCTAACACCCGCCTCATTTGAGCCCCAAGTGGTCGCGGCATTGCTTCCCGAGATGCATCACTAAGCTGTGGCCGCAGTAGAATATCGACACTTTCCCGGGTGAGTAGTGGATATCCACCGCCCAGAAGCGCAGAAAGTAATTTGACAAAATCCATCGGCGTGCTGAAGAGCCCAATACCCCCGAGATCATCTTGCGCTGGCTGTTTGAGAATAATAGGCCCCGACTTCAGAGACTTGGTGCCCTGGCCCACGCTCACGCGATATCCCATTCCCATTTGTGGGGGGAGAGTCTCGCGGTACAGTTCTGGGTGGAATGTGGTTGATCTGGCTCCAAGCTTAGACCAGATATGCGTCTGCATGTAATCCTCGAGTGTGGAATTTGTCAGGCATTCAATCTGTGTATGGTTAATCTCTCAGTGGATGTGGATGCGGCGACGAGATTTATACTGGGAGGTTAGAGGGAGGCTTACCACTCGACCAGCCCAATCTAAACCTGCCCCATATCCCCAGGAGGTGTCGGGCTCAAAAAGTAGAGGATGTTGGTAGCCGGCCTGTCGAGATAGATTGCAGGTAGATTAGCTAGAGATGTTTTACACCACCTCGGGTTACAAAGTTAAGAGGGACTTGCCATGCTACCACAAAAGGTGTGTGCTGTTCGACCCTGGGATTTAGACCATTTTTGCAGGAGTGGTGACGAGCTGTCATACACAAAGCCAGCTGTATGACACAGGAGATTCCTACATGGATAATATCATTTTAAGATTCACTCCATAAAACCCTGCAATGGTCATTTCTACTTGTTATAGGGGGCAATGCTCACCGGAGAGTTATCTTTCCTTGAACGGGCTTCAGATGTAGCTGGTTCAACTCTGATGAGAGGCCCTTATCTGCAAATTGAGAACATGAGATTAGCGATTGGGTGAATATAATAGTTCTATGTAAATTATACACACACACACACACCGTTTCTGATGTCTTCTAATATTTGTATATCTCGGAGCTCGGGGACTATTGCTCGCACGTCGTCTTCAAGTGATACAATGCCTCGCTCCACAAGCTGCATTACAGCCACTGCGGTCACAAGCTTTGTCATGGAGGCAATCCAGTACAGGAAATTGGTTTGCAAAGCAGGTGCCCTTTCATCATCAAGGTTTGCTTTGCCGGCAGCACGATGATAGATGATATTCCCTGGTAATAACCATCAGACTGGACATAAAAATGCAATACGTAAATCCCAAAGAACGCAGTACCTGAACTGTCAATTGCGATGAAAACGGCGCCATGCACTGACCCGGTCAAGGGGTCTGTGAACTGGTCCAGGATCTTGTCCACTTTGTCCATTGCTTTCTGTTGCATTCAACAATCAAACCAACTTAGATATTCAAATCGGAACCGGACAACTTCACGGAATAGCTCAATTTCATTGTATAGTGTTGATTATGAGAAGGACAAAACATATTGTAATCTAGGGTAGCCGAGGTTGTATCGCTTAGAATCGAGAGAGCAGGACCGAGGATGTGGGGTTAACCGGGCAGACATTGAAGTCTCTCTCTTGCTGCATTGTTTTGGTAATACACAATATGTCGGACCGGGTCATTCTCTAAATTTCCGACAAAGGATTTACTAGAGTAGTAGTGGAGGACAACAGGGGAACAATACTAAGTACCTATACTGGATGCCATATATCCTGTTTCTCGATACGACCACCTCTGACCCTCAACAACTGTTGTCGACAAGCAATACATGCCTTTGGTACGAGCAAGGAAGGACAACGCAAGTCAAGCGTATATTTGACGAGTCATAAACAGATAAATACATTGCATGAGACTAGACTATCTAACCTCAGCTCTTCTCAATATGCGCTAGGAGATACACAACTTTTTTTTAAGATACGTAAGGGCAAAGAAACCAGAATTAACCCGTATCCGTATGAGTTCAGAGGAACCTGTAAACGGAGAAGCGAAGGAAAACAAAAAACCGCATAATAGTCTATCGTGACTTCAACGAACGCCGCCCGTAAAGAGTTACAATGGATACCGAATGCGAAGGAAAGCAAGATCTACCGATGCGACAATGGGAATACAAGCTCAATGACTGAACTGGGCATTACGAGCAGTTTTACCAACGGCGGTTGCCTCCAAGGGGAGCGGCATTGGAAGCAGTGTAGTTGCCTCCACGGCCACGGCCACCACCACGGCCACCCCAGCGACCATAGCCGCCACGGCCGCCGCCGCCGCCACCACCGCTGTAGCGAACCATCTCGGCGAGACGGGGGTCAATCTGCTGCTTAGCCTCAGTAAGGATAGTGACCAAGTCACGAGCCTGCTTAGAGTCTGTTGCAAGAGAACGTTAGCACTGCCACCTCAGGGGATGTGGTCAGGAGAGCACGTCAAGACTTACTGTCAGTGGTGAAGAAAGTGATGGCGGTACCCTTGGCACCGGCACGACCAGTTCGACCAATACGGTGAACATAGTCTTCCGAGTTGTTGGGGTAGTCATAGTTCAGCACATGAGTAATGTCGCGAACATCTTCAAACAGAAACTTATGTTAGCAAACAGAGCATTAGTCAAAATAGCAAGGTGGCCTATGAGCCCTTTATCAGTCGTGTGAGACTTGATGCATCACTCTCTCTCGGACTTTTCAAATCAAGATCCGTTGCGGGTTAGGTCCCTGGGCTGGTAAAAATCGCGGTCCTGGAGCAACCTTGGAATGCAGCTTGAACGTGTCGGAACAAGAAGAAACCCCGTCTCTCGACCAACGAGGTTCAGAGAAGAGATGGAGAATCAGAACAGAAGAAATAATACGTCTGCTACACTGCACTGTGAGTCCAAGGTCCTCCTGGCATGAGAACCAATTCAGGAGACCCGACAAAGCCTGGACGAGTCATATACGCCAACAAACGTTGGAAGAGAGTTAAGCACCGTGCCATGGTCACACAACCTCAATACGGGTGAGGGTGCTTTCAAGGAAGGAAGGGGGAAAGGGGATGGGGAGGGGGTAAATCGCAATTTCATCATACCGATACCACGGGAAGCCACATCAGTGGCCACCATGATTGGGCTCTTGCCCGTCTTGAACTCGTTCAAGACCCAATCTCTTTCTTGTTGCTGCTTGTCACCGTGAATAGCTGTTCCAAGAAAGTTAGCTAAGAGTTCGATTGGAGCAGTTGAAAAGGCAAACATACAAAGTGCTGGCCATCCGTCCTGACGGAGGAAGCGAGTAATTTCGTCGGCGATACGCTTAGTACCGGTGAAAATGAGACACTTGTTGCCACGGTTCTCCATAATCTTCTCGAGGTGCTTGATCATCTTATCGCGCTTCTCAAAGTCTGAAACGACCTCCACGATTTGCGTGATACGGTGGTTAGCGGACAAATCCATGGAACCGATGTTGACTTGAATGTAATCGTTGAGGAAATCCGAAGCAAGCTGACGAACTTCCTTGGGCCACGTGGCGGACCACATGCAAGTCTGACGGTCAGGGCGAATTTGAGAGATAATCTTGCGGATCTGTGGCTCGAAACCCATGTCCAGCATGCGGTCGGCCTCGTCAAGAACAAGGTAAGTGACACGGCGGAGGTTGGTGCGGCCGGCCTCGAGCATGTCAATGAGACGACCGGGAGTAGCAATGCAGACCTCGACACCGCGACTCAAGTCACGGATCTGGGGGCCCTTAGGGACACCACCGTACACACAGGTGTTGCGAATGCGAGACGACTTTCCGAACTTGGTGATTTCGGTCTGGATCTGGACTGCCAGTTCACGGGTAGGGGCGAGGACGAGAACAATCGGGCCGTCACCAGGAGCAAGAAGGGGCTGGGCATTGATGTGGACAATAGCAGGAAGACAGTAGGACAGAGTCTTTCCGGAACCGGTCTCGGCAATACCAACAACGTCACGACCAGAAAGAGCCATGGGCCATCCCTGAGACTGAATGGCGGTAGGGCGTTCGAAACCCTGAGCCTTAACCTCGCTCAACACGTATTGGGGGAAGCCAGCCTCGTCGAAGGTCTCGACGGGACGAGGGATGTTCCTTCCTTGCACAGACATCTCAAACTTCTTACGGAAATCATCAACATCGCGCTGAGACCGGTTGGCGACATCGGGGTGCTCCTTGTAGAAAGACTTCTCAAACTTAGGCAAAGAATCCAGATCTGAGATAAAAGGTTAGCATCAAATATCCTGACGAATACGCGTTGCAAAGCAATAACACTTACCCCATTCTTGCTTCTTCAAGCCAGCGCCGAGGTTGGACATCCGGTCACCACCACCGCCGCCACCACCACCTCTTCCGCCATAGCCGCCGCCGTAGCCACCACCGCCGTAACCACCTCCATAGCCACCACTACCACCACCACTACCAGAGTAGCCGTTGGAGTTAGAGTAGCCATTCGAGTATCCACCACTACCGCCGTTTCTGGAGCTAAATGACGGAAACCCACGTTAGCATACGCAAATCACTGGTCAAAGGAATAATCCAAAGCAAAGGACATGAGTTAGACCTCCATATGTCAGGCCTTGTGACTGGGCAGTAAAGACGGTGCGATGACTATAACACCAGCGCAAGACTGACAGATAGGGCAGGTTCCAACACCACCTCACATTAGATAATTTCCCTGGGTAGAATCACTCACCGGTAGGAGTCGCGCTGGTCGCGCTGATAGCCACCGTTGTAAGACATTATGCGGTCCTTTTTTTTTTGGCGGGTATGAGATGAAAAAACAAACAGACTCAAAAGAATGAGGTTGTATGAAGGAAGGGGATGTTAAACAGCCTCTTCCAGAATAAAGACCGAGGGTAAAGGACTAAAGAATGTCCAAGAAAAAGAAAACAAGGATGAGGAGGAAGGGGGATAGATAAGGGAGATGGGGAGAAGAAAAAAAAAATAGTCGCGATGGGGCGGGAAGGAGAAGAAAAAGTCGAAGGCGAAAAAGAGGCGAAGGCGACGCTTTCCCGATTGGATTAGTGCAGGGGACTGGACCCAAGGAATGAGAATGGCAAAAGATGGGCAAAATGGAAAAACTTTGGCTGCACCATCCATTCACCGCTTGTCGTTCCCTCCACCGCCTCCCGTGACTGGTGGGTATACGCTGTTTGCACTGTTTGGATCTCGTGTCTTTTTCGCCATCCAGCACTAAACCTAGTTTAGGCTCCCATTGAAAGGTTCAACTTCTTTGTGTTGAATTGAATGGGTATTATCGGTCTACCCTGCTCCGTAACTATACACATCCTTCGTCTATCTTCTTCTTCTTCTTCTTCTATCGAGCACCCAACCCCATGTCCCAGAATCTGATCTCTAACTCCGTTGCCCGAATAAATATCTCAATCAGCTCTTCCATTCGGCTCGGAGAAACCTCGCGCATGTGTCTCTCAAGGAGTTCTACGGCAAAGTCAGCAATTCATAGCCATGGTGAGGACTTGGTGCTTTGAGGGCTCTCAGAGCCACTTACCAGATCCCAATCGAACTGCCTCTGAGTAGTCCTCCGCAACGTAGTTTTCAATCCACTTCCAGTAACGGTTGCCTTGCCTCTGAGTATCCTTGTCCGTATACAGTCTCTGGGCAATGGCTCCGTACCCGATTAAACAAGGCGCAAGAGCCATTTGCAATGCGAGCCAATCCTCAGATTGACCAATATCGAGGATATACCTACTGTATGCAGTACAAGCTATCATCCCAACGGCGACTTGTTAGCAACCTCATACAGGTCAGGGCGATGATTTGTTAACTTACCGATAGTCTCGGGCGTTCTTTCCATCTCTTGTTTTGATAGCCCGAAGGAGGCACAATAATCTAAGTGCAACGCTGTTTCGCGCTGGATGTGTAGGACGATCTGCGCCGACTATGGTGGTTCAAGCCAAGTTACCCCTCACGAACAGCTGAATCCCATGTACAGGAGCAGTAACAGGAACTAATTCACTTACTGCAGCAATGGATTCCATATTCTTAGCCTTGTAAGCCGCGAGCGCATTGCTTCTAGCGAACTGGACCTGAATATCACATTGTTAGACGAAGTCCATTGGACAAATGAAGGGTACATTGGTCCTACCAGGTACAGATAATCCTGCACTAGGTACTCCTTGAATCTCTCCACGGGAAGTGTGCCACTACCCATGCCCAAAACAAATTCGTGTTCAGTGAACTTCTGCCATACCGGGCGAATATCAGGGCGGTCTAGGGCATATTCTAAGAAACGACCACTTTGCGTGTCCGTTAGCACCCTCACTTCTTATGCTTTCTGGGAATAAGATAGCAACGTACGGTGCAAAAGGTAGCGTATACACTGAGTGGAAATGGTTGATTGGACCGCTTCCCTTCCCAATATCAAAGCTGGTCTTGATTCCTGCCTCGACGAACCGAACAGCACTATGCACTGCTCGCTTCAGATCTTTGCCCAAGGCAAGGTTAGCTGCAATCGAAGACGCAAGAGAGCATCCGGTGCCGTGGGTATTCTTAGATAGTAAAAAGTCTGTCTCAAAGAGTGTCACATCTTCTCCATCGTAAAGCACATCTATAACTGTGGTAGCCTCGTCTTGGTTGCGCGCCGTTTTATGATCTTTGGTGAGAGGCAGATGCCCGCCCTTGAGAAGAACAGCTTTGGGGCCTAGGGCCTTGACTTGCTTGATTAAATGAAGAACATCTGAGAGGCCTTCTGGCTCAGGTACGTCTAGACCGGCGTCCTTCAGTAGCAGCTTCGCTTCGGGAATATTGGGGGTAAGAACGGTCGTCAATGGCAGAAGCTTCGTCCGCAATTTTTCTACGGCCGCTTCAGGGAGTAGTTTAGAGCCACTAGTCGAGACCATCACCTGCTGTAATGTTAGATGCTAAGTGTATTTCAAACAATTTGGGTAAGGGCTACCGGATCCAACACCACCGACGGAACTTGGTGGGTCACCAGCGTTTCGGCGATAATATCAATTGTCTCTGCGGACGAAAGCATCCCTTGAATTTGTCAGACTAGAACTTACAATGAGATAAAATAGAAGATGAATATAAGAAAGTGATTACCAAGCTTCACGGCATCCGCTCCGATATCTTCAAGACCGGCATAGATTTGTTTCTTGACGAACTCAGCCGGGACAATGAAGATATCCTGTACACCCAGAGTGTTCTGGGCTGTCAGTCCAGTGGTCGCAGTTAGAGCATAGCATCCATGCGCAGCTAAAACCCGCTGGTCCGCTTCCAGGCCACTGAGTATGCATTAGTCTGGTTGCGCATCAAGGAGTGAAAATCGATCGCTCCAGTGCATGAGACCGGAATGAGTTAAAACATACGCGCCACCTGAGCTGTCCGAACCTGCGATAACCAAAACTCGTTTCACCGACATGACGGCAGACTAGAAGATTGCACGATGATATCACAAGAATATCCACCGTTGGAGATGGACAGAGGTGATATGTGCCTGAACTAGTCGTCCTTTTCTTAGTAATTGGTTCAACAGCCGGCGGAAGTGCGGCAAAGAAGTTATTTGGCGGGGTGTGGGGCATTTGATATCATTTATCCCAATTTACGATAAGATAGAGCGAGACTTCACGCACGATACCTTTCATAGATGAATCAAACTACGTGCCTATATTACTCGTGTGAAACGACAGACATTTCAGAACTTATCATTGATGTTTATAACCCTCATCCCATCATCCCAAACATAAAACAATTGCGCTATCCGCAGTGATAGAAACAACAAACCCGAACCATCCAAACATGCAGACTATATACAGATACCAGTCAATTAATATCCCGTGCGTGAAGTCTATGGTAGCATAAACCGGAACAGACTATCCATTTCAACCCATTGCCGCCCGCACTTCTTCAGGTACGCGTCCACCACGCTCTTAACCGTCTCAAACCGTGCGCGGTTAAACGAAGCAAGAGCAACGACACTGTCTTTCTTCTCCCCACTGGTTTCCTTCTCTGCGGCGACCCGCGCCTTATCCACATCCCAAAGTCCAGCAAAGTACAGCAACTGGTTGTAAAGCTGCTTCTCCGAGTATTCGTAGGACATCCGACCAAGACAGCCTTCAGCGTGGCCCCGGGGACCCAGGCACCTATGCCCATAAACACTCATCTGCCGCGTTCGATTACCGCATGCGGAGTCGTCGCAGACAAGCCAGCCCTCGTAGTACTTGGAGGTTTGGGCCCGAATCTGGCTTTCGAGCTGTGCAATAATCGTCAAAACAGTGAACTGTTTCTGGCAAGCGGCATTCGGACAGAAAAGACCATTGGCGTTGCACATGTGGGTTGATGCTGCAAGTCCTTCGAAGACAGATTTCTCTTTACAGAATCGACATGTCAACGTTAATCTTGCGGCACCCTCAAAGCGAACAGAATCCGGAATTTGCGACTCCAGTGGGAAGATGTCCGTGTTCTGCTGGTTACCACCGCTAGAAGTATTGATTTGATACTTGCGGACATCCAGACCCAGGCACTCGGCCAGTCGAACCGCATCGGTTCCAGGAATTGGAGCACAAAGACGCTCAATCGGCGGGAAAATCTGCTTCAAGAGGTAAAATTCAATATCAGGGTTGAGTCCTGAATCGGGTTTCATCACATCCTGAAGTGTGTACGAGCGCTTTGCTGGCGCAAGGGAGGATGTTTCGGTGTCTCCACTCGTCACAATGTACGAGATAACATCGTTTGGCCGGACTGACTTGCCGCGGGCAAGCTCCCGGAGGGCAACCTGAACAGGTGGCATCGTCTCCTTGTTAGGATATTCTTCCGGTCGTTTAGAGAGTTTCTGCGGGGAGTATTAGCGCCTTAATCACTTCAACATAACCAGGGCATGACGTACAGTGTAAATCACATATTTCTGGACGGGAACGGTGAATTCTCGCATCTTGCCTGCCAAGTCACGTAGATAGTCATGGACCCGATTGAGGACGACCTCTTGGTCTTCGCCGGAGAGAACCTCATTCAAGAGCCTCTGAGATACCTCCTTTGACAGGGCGCAGTATTCACGCCTCTTCATATCCAAGCCCTTGACTTCCAGCTTGTCTACATATTTGCCATCCATCTCCGTCATGTTTATAGCGGCGTACTTCTTTTTGGCATGCAATAGCAGCCGACGGAAGATATTGTCAATATCGATTTCCAAAAGCCGGTATCTTTCATTCACAGATTTCTTGAATTCCTCTCCGACCTTCAGCGCGTCGCTTAGCGTATCCATATTAGTGTTAATCATGACGGAGTCGGTATCACCGTAAATGACCCGCAACTGCTTCGATTCGGCCAGTTCCTTTGTGCTTCTTAAAATCTCACGACCTTTGAACGTGGTGAGCATGGCCAGGGGACGAGCATAGAAGCGACTCTGGGTGTAACCCAAGCATCCATACATAGAGTTAGCAGTCAGCTTGAAAGCCAATTGTTTTGTATCCCACAGCGCAAGCTGTTCAGGTGTTGCGCGTTTGTCTTTCATTAGCTTTTTCACCTCTCGTCGGCGGCCGACAAGTGTAGCAATAAGCCGTGGGAGGATTCCCTGTTCTTGATCCGAGGAGGGAACTTCAGGTACTTTCTCTTCATTCTCGTTTTCAGCCTATAGACCATGTCAGCATATACCAGCACAAGGATTTTAGGAAAGATCCTTACGGTTGCAGTCCGCTCCACGGTCGTGAAGCAGATGTTGTATTCCTGGATGATACTCGGGTACAAACTGTTAAAGTCCATCACAAGAATGAATCGATCGTAGAGTCCTTTCTCAGGTTCGAAAACAAGTCCACCTTTGTACTTGTCTTTCTTTTTCTTGTCCGTGGCATCATCGTCATCGCCATCCTGTAGTTTTTCTTCCGCTTTCTGTAGCTTGGCCGAGTACTTATCAGGGCATATATACTTATTCCGGTGGAACTCGTGGAGTAGAATGTACTCGTTACGCTCGGCTCGTGTACCACTAAGCGTACGTGCCCAAGAATTACCGGCAATATTGGTAAGCACTTTAGTTAGAGGCAGCATTTGAAGTCGTAGTACCAATGCGGCAACAAAGTAGGTATCAGCGTCGCAATGGTTCACGAAGTTCATTAGGCCATCTTTGGTGGTAGCCCAAGTTTTCAATGCTGCTTCGCTATCCAATTCCTGCCGTACATGGCCTGATCCAAGATAAAGGTTGCACATCTCCGTCAGACTCCACGATTGACATTTCATCATGAGGGACTATATCTTGTCAGTACAAGCACCAATACTACCCGAATGTTGAGGAACTCACCTTGCCCATGTCGTTGGCCACATCGCACATCAATCTTCCGGCAATGAGATGTCTCTCGGCGAAGAATCCTCCACCCCTGTTAAAATTCTTAGGCCAATCTCCACGCTTCAACCGCCCCAGTCGATGCCACCCAGGTGTCTTCTTTTCCTTCAATCGGCTAAGCAGGATGCTAAGGTCGACTTCTTGAAGCTGATGTCCCATCACAACATCAGGATCCATCTTCTCGAACAATGCCAAGAATTTACTGAGCAAAAATTGCTCGCTCCGCTCTAAAATATACGTGCCTCGTTGCTTCTTGGTCTCAGCTTCGAAATGCATGGGGTACGATGAGCCCACAGGTCGCATCACCGTGAAAGTCTTGCAAGGCAGCTTCTCGGGAGGTGTTGTGTCTGTAAGAGAAACATTTTCGTACACTCGAGCGCTTGCGATCAAAATCTCCTGTTTGTTTTCCTTTACGTTCAACTGTGTCCTGAAGGCAAGACTCATCAAAGTGAGAGGAGGTGCCTCTAAGTTCTCGGAGTCTGGAACTGGGGAAATAAGCGCTGGTTTAGAGACTTGGCATTCGAACTTGCACCATGACGCGTTGTTGACAGCAGAGAAGTCTACTCCTTCAAACCTGAGCCAACATGGTCCCATGATATTCTTCCAAAGAACGAACTGCTCGAACAAGGAGGTGTTGGTGCCGAAGACATGAGAGAAGGTCTCTCCCTTGGTCTCCATGGGCAAAGCGGGCTTATCATATGGGTATAGTAACTTCAAGTATTCGGTCTCCTTGGGAATGCCGGGCATCTCAAAAGCATACTTTCTTGTGCATGGCTTGATCTTGTGCATCCCAACCTTGAGTCTCGACATCATACCGTCAACTTCATTATAGACATCTTCCATATCCACTTCTTCGTCTGTGTCCCGGCCATGCTTATGTCTATACTCCCGTGGAAGGAAATAGAGCTTCCGCAGAATATTGTCGACCTTGACGAATGCGCTTGCGTAGTTTCCAGTCTGCTTATTTTTAACTTTTCCGAATAAGCAGAGGCTGCCATTGACTTCGGTGAAATCTATCCAGAACATGCGCAGGCTTCCGTCTTCCTCCACAACATCTTGCGCACGTAGTTTTCCGAACGTCCGCGTTTCCGATGCTGGGCTACTAAGGACATTCAATTTGTTCCTCACATCATTCCATGAAGCATTTGCAACTTCTGGCATGGCTTTGACTGGGGAAGAGTTCGCAGGGGTGGAATAGGCTTCTTTTTTGATCTTGGGTGGTGGCCGACTTCCGGTCATGTTGACGCTTGTCGTCTTAGCCTCGTGTTGCCCGGTGACCTCTGCGATTTCCATCAAATCATTGTCCTCTTCATCAAGATCCTCCATTTTTACCGCAATAGCCGATTTCCTTTCAATGGCCTTGCTGACGGGAGACGACGGCATGGGGTCGCTCATTGGGACGTCGTCATCGTCTGCCACCGGAAGAGGCCCGCCATCGTTGTCAAGGTCCAAGTCCGGCTTCTGGCCAATCGGTGACATCGGGTCGCTGTTCTCATCTTTCATCTCTTTTTTCTGCGGACGTGGTCTGTGGGACAAAGGGGGGGAAAGGACTCGAACTTTACGTCGAGTTTCCGACTTGATCACATTTTGTGTTGGGACATGATTTGAGACAACATTGGTATCAACTTCACCGAGGAGATCAGCCATGAATTCTTCATCTTCTGCAGTGGCGACCGGCTAAGCGAACATATTAGACATAATATTAATTTAAGAATACTGCAGTGTCGCACTCACTTTCGGCTTCGGGGCAGATGCGTTGCTCCCCTTGTTGAAATACTTGGATATGCCATTATTGATTTTCTCTTTTCTCTGCTTATCTTCCTCGCGTTTCCTTTTAGCAGCCTTGTTGTTGGCAGGTAATTCGCCATCGTCGCTCTCGCTTTCATAGTAGTCTGCCGTCCGTTCATTCCAGACCTCTCGACCGTCATCGGCATATCCTTCACCATTATCGTCAACAACGAAATCGTCCTCGTCAAGCCGGTTGCGGATAATCTTCTTGTAGCCTTCATCGTCGACCTCCTCGTAGATATCATCCTGTTCTTCAACCTCATACGTCGATATACGTTTCTTTCCTGAAGCGCGCAGAGCACGCAACTCCGCCAACTTAGCTCGGGCAGATGCCATGGCGCCGCAATAGAAGATCCCTAAGGATTGGCGTCCATTAAACACCTTTTTTCGTGAATTCAATTGATTTCAACAGAGGATACCGCGGTGTGAACTAGAGAAAGGGTTTAGTGGTTCAAAGGCGGGCGTCGCGGAGACAACGCGTGAGCGGAACGCGAGATGTACGCGCTCACCGCCCAATCGCCATTAAGTGGTTTTTCAATTACCGTTAGTGGTTAGTCAATCTTAATACCTACTTTTACCTCTGCGAGCTCAGGCACTATGGAGTGAGTACTCCGTACACTCATACGATGTATACTGATTATGTAGATATGTGTGATCCAGTAAGCTCTTTTATATTCTGATTTATCTAAAAAGCAATAAGTTTCAGAAAGACTATGTGCATTATGATTGATACACCCTCTCACCCTACAGCTATACTATCTCAAACGTAGCAGGTTCGACATCTACAAACAAAGGACACGGCCTCTTCCCCCCAAAGTTATCATACCAAACACTAACGCCGATCCTTTCAAAAGCATCCTCCTTATATGTAGATCTCTCTACAACAAGAAACCTTGTCTCCGGGCCCATCATAGATTGACCGTATCCATATTCCACAAGGATGTACAATCTGAAGCAGTAATATTGATTGTCCCCATTTGCGACAAGGCCCGGCGAGTCTAGAGAGATCGGTGAGATCTGCGCGCCTGTGGACTGTACATATGCAAATTTTCTCTCGCTCTCATTCACAAGGTTTACGGGGACAAAGGCACCTTCTAGCACAAGAGAACCCCCAATAACAGCACTAGTCGGATCTTCTGGCACCTCTCTTTGGCAGTCAATCACCTTTATCTGATATATATCGATGGCTTTGGGCTCATATTTCCAGAACTGAAAGGCTTCGGTACATGAGTAGGTGACTGGTTTTCCCACAGAGGCCTATGACCAGCTTGGGATACGATAATTGGTCTCGTTATCATCTTCAAGACCAGTAGATGGAGGCACGTCATGTGTATCGACTGGCTTGACTTCCCATGTCAGATCGAAATGGAGTTCGCCGTTCCATAAGCCAGCCACATACTCGTCAGGCGATCCGTCTATCTCGGGTAGCCGATTTTGGACCATTTTGGCTAATGCCGAAATGGCCCGCAGTGTATCATACCTTTTGCTGAGCGAGCGATGGGAATAGTCGATTACAAGGTCCCTCCATCTGTGATATGGTATCATGGGTGGCGAGCAATGCTTGGGGATGAATCCGTTCATTCTACCGACCGGAGGCTCAGCCTCTGGAGGGTGGGTTTTGAGTGTCGTTCCAAGCTTGCCATAGTCTTTACTGGTATTCCTTGGGATCTGTGGCTCGACCACATGTCCACACTCGCAGATCTGGCGGCATAGAGATTCCCAGATCATTTCCTTGCCGTCGTAACAAAGCCGACGGTTGGGCAAAAGTGATTCTTGCAGACACCAGCCTCGCTTGTCCAGGGAGGATCGCCCAGTATTGGATCGGGCCTTGAATTCACCCGGTCGCATCAACAGCTCTGTAGATGTATCTCCTGGTCAATCTGGTAGAGTAGGACAAAATAATCTCTGCCAGCTAGGATGGCCGAACTGTTGTTTCCCTAGGAACCTCAAGTTATACGAATTTGGCTCCATGGCCGCAATTGTTAAATGGGAATTGCGGTACACGTCATGCATGGTCGACGCATCATGCAACCAGGCAACCTTATCATCCTGAACGATACACAGAGAGTCAACCCAGAGATTTGGGATCTTGAGAGCACGACAAACGGTGATGGCATCTTGGATGGCCGCCGGCAGTTGTGCTAGCTCGAGTCTCTGATGGTGGGATTGAATGTTATCAGTTGTCGTCTTCTTTATCTGATCAATATCGATCCCCCAGCAGTAGCTGAGACAGGCATAAATTACCGGTGTCCTAGGCTCATACAAGAAAGATTCCCGGGATCCATCCCACGAGCCCACGTTCACTAGGCGTCGAGGCATAAATTCTGTGTCGGGGGGTTTGCAAGCCTGATCATGCTGCATGCAATGTGGGAGCCATTGTCTGGCGCGATTAAAAGCAGCCAATGAGCCTGAGTCTTTTGTTAACCTCCAGAGACTTGGAAAGATTCCACCCCGCAAAACCCGGGGAACGAGAATCGGGGGATTCATAGACTGCACTAGTAGACAGATGTAGAAGATGGAAGGAGAAAGTATGCTGTAATTCCAATTCGGGGGAGGAATCCCTTGGTTCGTTCGGCGGCAAAAGACCCAGAGTCATCGTGGGCACGACCACTGGCAGTTTCCAATCGTTTTTTGCTCTTTCTCGCCGCAGGTTCACTAATCCATGCTCATTGTTTTCTCTTACCCAGCCTGGTTTAATAACTTCTATGGCCTGTAGTAGTATACTGCAATCGGCACATGTCGGTGCATTCTCAGCAAAGGTCGATATGGGACTGTGGAAAGGCTCAGTGTAACCAATATCCGGTTGCATTGGAAAGTGCGGACACACTGAATCTGACGAGGAAGACATTCTTTATTTTGAGGGAAGATGAATGATCAAGCTCATTTAGCTCAACTTGGCTGCCAGAGTATTATATTGCATCCCCAGCCTTTCTACAGGCTAACGCTCGTTTGGAAACCCCCCGCACTTGACAGGTCACAATGTCAGGACATGGAGAAAGTAAGGCTGTCTTTGACGATCAATAGGAAATCAATATACCTGTGACTTTCAGAATGCAATATGGACTACTCTGACCGCAATGGAAAGTCATGACATGATATGCGTTTGAGAACTAGCTTTGGAAGGACACACATCCAAGTATCCCTTTAATGTTCAGGAACGCGCCCCACCGTTTCTAACAGAAGTTGAGATGTTCTACGTGTACAGGGGACAGCTATGACTGCATTTGTGACAATCTGGCCCAGCCGCAACTGATATAGAGGTTAGTTAATTTTACCATAAACTCTTTATTATATGACAATTACGGAGTAGATCTTCGTTCATATGCAAGAGACTTATATTCTGTCTAGCTAGCATCGAACTTAGCATTTCTAAGCAGGACAATTATCTGGTAGTCATGATGCTAAGAGCTCTTTTAGACTCCATAAAGTCGATAAAGCTTTCAAGTCTTACTTTGACCCAACATATCTCCTCTATTAAACGTTTTTGAAGACACTTATCCTATACATAAAATCCTTTTCAACCCCTGATCAGAACCCTCTTTTCTAGCAATGCCCCCACAAAAGCCCTAATCGCGCGGATTCCAATGCGGGCAATCTTATCCCCATCCCCAGCATCCGGATCAAACGAACACACCGTCAAAGACCTGGGCTCAGACAACCTCGGTACAAGATCCATACAAGTCACCAAGTCCTCCTCCGTCAAACCTCCAGGCGATGGATAGTCGTTAACTTTCCCATAAGACTCATCCAAAACATCTAGATCCAGATGCACGAGAGCAGACCCATACAACCTCTCCTCCAACTGCGTCTTCAACTCACCCGCAAAATCAACCTTCCTCGACGTCTCACCCCAGACAGCCTTCATACCGGCATCAATAACCCGCTGCCGCTGCACCTCAGACTGGTCCCGCAATCCACAGTAAAGAAACCGACCATCGTAATTAAACGGTTTGTAATTCGGCACGGTGCCCATTAACGTCTTCCACGATTCACCACGTAGCATTGACAGGCCCATGGCATCAAAGTACCCGTTTTCATTGACATCTGGCGAGTCCAGGTCATCATGGGCATCGAAGTAAATGAAAGATAGATCTTGAATCTTGAGGCCACAAGCCACGGCCGCGCTGGACATGCAATTTCCCGCCAGAACTAAGGGAAAGGTGTTGTTGTCCACGGCTTGCGTGACGGCGGCTGAAGTCCGGCGGAGGATCTCAAAGCTTCGTCCGATCTCGCCTTCGAAGTTGTCCACGCTGGGGATCTCATGGATACGGATTTGAAGGCCCTGTTCTTCAAGGGCAGGAATTAGGCCGAGGGATTGGATGCGGTGGGGGCCGTTGCCTACGCGGTGATCGCGAAGGCCGACATGGTAAGGAGAGATAATTAGGGTTATGGTATTGGTTGGCATTTCTCCCTCGGGGTGTATTCTGCTTGCTTAGTTACTCTCTCTAACTATCGTCAGATTAGTGGTTTTATATGGTTTTATGGTTGTATCCGGCGTCTCCAATGACGTTGGGATGTTCTCCAATGGGGATATTTTTAAGCTTACTCCAACTCTGGGTGTCTCAATAACAGGAAATTTTCTGATTTCTCACTCGTCTTAATTCACTGGGTACTACGGTAAAAGGAAAAGAAAAGAAATCCTATTTGAATACTTGACTGAGGCACTTAAGAAATCCAGTGATGTGCGTTGGGGAAGGCTAAGGTGGGGCTGGAGATATTCTCCAAAGGCATCTATTTCCCCAAGGGCTTTCCCCAAAGACACTTCAGGATACTCAAATCCCTAGGGATAACCAAAGCCAAGGCTGAATATCTGCAAGAAATATGTCTTCAGTTATGTATTAGATTCACTGGAATATATTAAGTTTCTATCGAGATACTGGATCATTAACGTGGGTTCCGATAATGTAGGGTTCATCGGCCTAAGGTGCATGGGAAAGCCTAGGTATGGCCGAGCAGTTAGCCAACAAGCTCCCCAGAAATACTCAGCTAAGATGTGTATGATATTTGGAAGACTCTGTCCCTGATATCTAGGTGGCAAGGTTTTCTGGGAGGGAGATAGTTGGTGACTCAACAAAGAATATTGCAGAAAAATCTGTAAGTCGTTCAATCTATATAAAATCAATATTACCGGAATACAAATGACTTACGCATCAACAGGGAATCGTATTTTCAAGGGTCTCCGAAGGCGTGCATGCCCGGACTGTCTTTTTAGGCTTAACGGCCGGTGTGTGGTCTTGAAGACCGTGTTCTCTCAGATGTGTTTGTAGCCGGGAGGGCGTGTTCGGTGCCCGGAGAGGCCGGTTTGAAGACGTATGGAATCCCTTAATGGCCCTTAACTGCATGGATCTAGACTCACGAGTAGTATCTCGCTATTTTGGCGGACAAATCCGGTCTAAAAGGCTTGAGAGAGCTGGTGATGAAAGCGGCCAATATAATAATGAAAACACCTGACATAGAAAAAACACTAGGGCTCCATACACAGGCTTTTATACAAAGACAAATCTCTATGCGATCATTTTCTTTCTCTATAGCGACTAACATAGCTAGGTGACTGTAGGGGAGGTGTCACAAAAAGAAACAAACTCCTTTCATCTCATCATACTCAATGCATCGACAGATGGCTTTGACTGAAATTGCGCTATACTAATCTAATCGACTTGACCAAATCCATAGTCGGCATTCTCAAATGGCAGACTATAAATCAGAGGAGCTCATCCCAACTCTTGAACCCGATACATAGCTTGAACGATATCTCTCTCAGCGGAAAAAAAAATTGTATTCACTGGAGTCATGCTCAAAACCCTCATCTGAGGAGGCATGGCAAAACAGGCTCCTCTCCAGCATTCATATATGCGATGAGTATCTTAGTGCCTTACTTAAATTGTCGGCAATATCGCGAGATGAAAGGGGATACATCAAAGTCATGGTCACGATACGGTGCTTTGTACCTCAAAAGTTTGAAGACCGCCACGTCAGTGACGAGCTCGCTCAGGATATCTTCAATCTGGCAATTGAAACTAGAGTAAAAGAAAAGCTACGAAGCATTGAATCGTGAGTCTCTTATCAAAAACTCAGAAGACATTAGAACTAACGGTCTTTTCTCACAGCATCCATGGTTACGGCTGGAATGTCGATTCTTCACCTACAGACGACCGGCATCTGGTGGCTTACTGGTATGGAGAGGCGGAACCCGAACTACCTGAGACAATCCGATACAGCTCTTTTGTTGAACTTCGAAAACTACACTATGACCCCCTTCACTGGTAAATCTCTATTCTATCGAACATCCTAAACATGTCAGCCACAATCAAAACGAAGCATTGGATTCGGGTATATATAAGCTAATGACCGCTATAGAAGGGCAGCACGACTAACAGCATGCCTGAATTTCAGGCAAAATAAGCGTTTTCTTATGCGACAGCAGTGTCAAGGACTCTTATTAACAAACAATAAACATATTATGTCATATCAACTTCAAATGTTTCTGTATAAACAACTCTCTTAGGGTGTTTATTTGTTAATTTTCCTTCATAGAGCCACATAGTCGTCGTTAGGATACATATAGATAGACTCTTTTTTCCATATCATTCCCTTACCTCTCTCCTGTTTTCCTACCATTTTCTCCCTGCTTTCACTTGGTTTCTCTCTTACCTTTATCTCAATCCCATCTCGTTCTTTTCATTTCCCCTTTATTTCAATGTGTGTTCCAGAGCTTTGGCGAGTAACTTGTGCACATGGCTAGTCAAGTGCCCAGAATTAAACCAAAAATATGTGTCTAGGGGCGTTGGGCAGCCATAAGCTCGATAGTTCCATCCTATATCTGGCTGATCGTAGCCAGGGCAGAAGCTAGTCGTGTTCGTAATCCCATGCCGTGCTGGCTGGTCCATCATATCGTTTAGAATCGAATGAGCATCGAAAAGCTGCACATTGGTATCAGAGTACTGTTTGTCGAAGCTTCCTGCATGTTGTGCTAGTGCCTCGTTGAACCACGCAACCTGGGTCGCATTGGGACTTGGACTGGCCGTCTTCTGGTTGCTTGGTGTTCTGTCTAAAGGTGGAAGGTTCATAAAAAGGTACGAGCGATATCCTAAGGAATAAAGAACTCGGACAGAAACGAAAAGGGTATCCATAAGCTCATTGTAGAACGTGGGGAAATGGACGGCATATTTAGCGCTGTCATTGATATCGTTGATGCCGATCCAAATGGCAACCAGCGCCTTTGAAGGCTCCACTACGTCCTTGAGAACAGGGTGACCGTATGCTCTGTATTGTGCGACCTGGTTGACAAGTGAAACGGTGAAGTTATGGTGCAAAGGGGTGCTAGCAGCGCTGAATGTTAGCCAGTGTCGCGAGCAATGGAAGTAATAGCAAACATTCGCGTACTGTTCCACGGAGATATCTGCCCCGGCGAAAGCAAAATCCCACAGCTGTCTGGTACAGCTTAACGGGGAAGTTAGCCTTTCTTCTAAGCCACAACCTGTTAGGTACTCAACCCAGTTCGGGCCGCCTTCTGCAGTCGCGGTCTGCCAGTGATGGGTATCAGCACTCTGTGGTAATGAATGAGCAAGAATGCTGTCTGCGAACCTGATTCTGCACAATCCTGTTGGTCAGCAAAGTCTGAGCATCGTATTCGAGATTCAGTTGATCCCCTATGAAACTATAGTTCTGATGCCCTTCTGTTCCCTGGACGTATGTATATGAGTCACCGAAGGCGAGCCTGGGAGCCTGGTAGTCAGTTGAGTGCCTTCCTTTTATATGCATAGGATAAGCTCAAGACACGGACAAGTACTGAATAGAATCCCAGTCAAATCCTTGCGATGGCAATCCCGAAGGAAGGGCTACGGATAAAGAAGCACTGGCGGTAAGCAGAAGATGTGATGTGAAGCGCATTATGAGACGCTGGCTCTAATTATGCCAGGCAAAGAATGATAGAATAAACGTTATTCGGTTTGTAGATGTGTCGAGTATCAAAATATATAGGGTTCGTCGACATTGCTGCTGGCTCTTGAAGTCGTATTCTTATATATATATTTCTCCGCATGTGCTTGTATACCGGAGAATTCCAGCGCCATTTCGCGTTTGACGGAAGTTATTTTTCCGTCTCTATGAGTTTCTTCGATCAACACACGTACGATCCAACTGATCTTTTGTTGTATATCCTGGAAGTTGAAAGTGTTACTTTGTGATCGGTCACGGGTCAATTGAGCCGAACAGTTGTTCGAGCCAGCGATTGCCCATTCTATCGGATCTTAGAGGTAGAGAATGGTGCACAACGCTATTTTCTCCGAGGATTAGCCAAACGATCGAGCTAAAGCTCCACGACGCTTCGGAACAGCCACCCGCGGTTCCGTATAATGTCATCCACATTTCCGTATAAAGCACCAAGAGCACTTGCCGATCTCTTAGCGATAGAGCAAAAGAGCTCTGATCAGCCTTCTGGGGATTGGAGGCTCAACTGTGGGGGGTTAGTACATAGTGGATGTACTGTACGGAGTGGTTTACTGAACTCCGTAGTGTAGTCGAGATCATCAATATGCTTTCGTAGCGGCTGGTTTTGTGGAGAAGAAGATATCGCGCTTCCGCGCGACATCCTCCGAGTAGAAAGGTAAACATCGGAGAAGGACACCGGAAAAGGGGTCAAGAAGCGTTGCGATGAGGTCCATCAGGAAATTATTCTAGATTTGGCAGGAGCCATTTGCCGACTCGCTGTGAATCATTGGAACCTTCCCCATATCGCGCGGCCTTTTTTTCCATCCGACCATAAAAATCTCTCATGTCACTGCCTGAGTCAGTCTCATACATGTCCATCATGAATATGGCGCGATATCTGTTCTTTACCCACTCAGGAAGGTGCCGTAAGCTGTCGGGCGGAACGAGACAGGCCGTTGGTACTATTTGGTGGGTCAATCAATCAAGCTGTTGTGTTTACATTGAGCTATGCTCTAACGACCGATAGATTCATGCACGTTAGATAGGTTTTTTCGGAATTATGGGATATCAAAACACCAATAAAATGACGTGAGGGGAAGGGTGCCAATGATAGCTGCAATTGTAAAGCATTTCAATTGAAACCCCCTATTATTATCTTATCATCGTCTGAACATGTTCATGTCTATCACCGGTCTTGAACAGGCTGGTAATTGCTGAATGGATGGTATGTAAGTCATCGGTAATTACAGCAGCGCAATTACCGTAGTGCGATATCAAGTTACAAGCGCCGAGGCATATGCAGATTTAGGGATACGGTTCCATTCCAAAGATGGCTAGTGCTGTCCCAAAGTCAATTGGCAGTGGCCCGAATAGTTAGGGGGGCCGGTTTACACTTACCTCCTTCGGTTAGTACCCAACCTAGAAAAATTAGTTCAATGCGCGGAAGTCGGGAATTCCGCTTGTTAGAATCGCGAGGCGATGGTAATTGGCCCTCCCTTTAGGACTAACGTAATAAGAAATGACACCAACCAACACCGCCAGTGGAAGCCTCACGTACCTGGACACCTTAGGTGTCCGGGCAGCTTGAGTTAACGCTTAGAGCTGCCGTAGAATATGCATGGAACATGTAACATCTCGACAGTCAACGCCGGAATGCTGTGAGCCTAAGATGATGATTTGCTTCTGCAGTACAGTTCCTGCGGTTCATTCAAACATTGGACGATATTGTCTAAGTCAAGTGCAAGGTCCGGGTCTCTTGAAGCTCCACCGCACTTGTTTTCTTTTGGTTCGCCGTGGGGGGTCGGTGCTTGGTCCGAGAATTAACCATCATGATATTTCTTGGCGGGTCCTTTTCTTCGAGGTCTGGCACTCCCGAATGATTTTCCTTTCGGGGGGGTGTTCAGTGCTGACAAATTCTTAGCATATCAGAATTACATATATCTTTTAGGTATGCGTTTGCGAGCCATATATGACTGGGGAATGTTCTGCTTGTTCCTGATCAATATTATTATTAGTGATTAGAATGAGATGCAATGATGTGCTCTCTGCCCGCATAGGTACAGTACAATACTTGGTAGTATTCTGCGTAGAGGCCTCTCAGCGCGCTTATCTTGACTGTTTTATGGAGCAATACTTGGGCGGGTGAGACAAACTTTCCGGTATCCCACTTGTGGGCCAATAATTCGGCGATATCCTAACTCTGGACGAATCTTGATCCCCAATAACCCTCTCGGTAAGAAGATGGAACACGGAGGACTCCGCTTTGACTAAATTGATTCCGAGAAACCTACCTAGTTGAACCTCAAAGGGAGAAATAATAGTCATTGCTGTGTTTTTATTTTATTTTATTTTTCTTTCCCCTTACTTTAAAACTCTTGTTGCAATGTACGCATTTCGATTTTCTGTAACTGCTGGTGGGAGTGGATTGAGTGCAACCCTCGGAATAGCATTTACCGAGGACTAACTGCAGTGCGAGTTGGCAGAACAGTACGGAGTATGGATATTCTGTACTCTGTACCTACACAAGTACTTTTAGCGCGTAGCATATAACGTCCAACAATGCTATCTCCGATTTAGTAGCCTACTTAGGTGTCAATCTCGTTCCAGTTTTAATCAATTTGTCGACACCCTCACTGGTTCCCATACATCGTCAAATTTTTGACTTTTGAGTTAGGAGCGGGAGTCAAAGGCCGTCTTTTCTTAAAATAATTACAATAATAACCATAACCATGGTCCCATTCTAAACCATAGACTCCACAGAACTAAAGTCGGAGGTGTGAACCGCAAAAGCGGTGTTGGTGGTCTTTCCGTGTACCTAACAATATCTGACTGGCACGCGGTCCTCCGTACAATACACATTCCTCGGTAAAATGTTGGAACAATTTCGCAGTTAATATACGGCTTAGGCATAATATACGGCAGTTCCATTCAACCTATGATGGCAAGCCAACCATTTTTTTTTCTCGTACGCTGTGCGAGAATGGGGATTATTTGATTCTATCGTCCAATAGAATTTTTGTTTACCGCCCCCGCCTTATTGGATAATGTCAGCTGCCAGTTATTAAATTTGGATTGTAGTGTTGCAGTCGGAAAAAGGGGGCAAAAAAGATTGAATGAATAATAAAAAAAAGCGCGAAATAATGGAGTACATGGTATTATCCAGTTTTTATTATATCACCTTCACCAATTACGTGATAGAAATGAATATCATGCTTTACTGACTGCCTAAGTAGCAGTACTACAGAGTGGACTGTACCTAAGGAATTCCTTATGACAGCCATTTAGTATGTATATCTGATTAAAATACTAGACATTAGAAATTGGTCTACAAAGAGCGAGGTAGACGCTACAGAACCAAATACAGCTCCCTTGGCCCACGTGGGGAAAGCACCAAAATAGCCTGGACATGGACGTGATACCACCATAGCCTATCTGCTTGTACTAATACAGTACTACTAACTAAGGCATTGACAATCTGTTGTCAGCATTGCTGTAGGTGCAGTTACGGCGTACAGTAGCCATATTGCGGACAATAAAAAAGTTTAGAAAGGAAACTAAGAAATTTCGATGGCAGGGGCATCGACTGCAACTGTCAACCATCAACCAAAAACGCACATCCTACATCATACGCAACTTAGCCCCTTTCATGTGCATATAATGTCCCAAAAAAAAAAAAAAAAAAAAAAGAGGTTACCATGAGGGGCGGACGAGCTCTGCTGTGTTGTCAAGGTGGGCCACCCTGGCTGTAAACAATACAAGTAAATTACAAGCGCGATTATCCCAGGGCCATTATCTCATTCTACATGGTAGGTCAGATAGCCGATGTTCTGTTGCTGATTCCGTGATCTTAGGGCTTTTCTTTGTCAGCTGTCACTGATTTGCTTTTCACTACTCCGTACTCCGGAGTCGATACCAGAAATGCCATTGTTCATTGGCTTCCCCAGAGCATGGCAGATGGATAAGGATTAGCTACCTTTGGACTAAAATGAAGCCAGCGTACGGAGTAAAAAGGGGGTGTTTTTACCCGGATCGACAGGCGTCCATCAACCTATGGTTATCGGCCAGCATCCGAAACACCTTACGGCTTATTGAGGGACAGTCGAATGGTACTGGTAGTATAATAAGTATTACCCCATACATCTGGGGAATCAAAAGGAGCTCCTATCTGTAATTCGATCAAAATAGTAAAATTAAGAACCGAGTGCCTTGTGGGCAACAGTCTTTAGCCGGCCCCAAAGTGTAGTAAATTATAATGTCCGATAACGCTTCGGAAAACAGAGCATACCCTACTCCGTCTGCGAAAAGTGCCTCGCCATTTATTTTGAGATATCCCGCGCGTGTATGGACTCTATGGACGTTCTAAAGGGGAGTACTGGCCTGTATCCCATATTGATATCAGCTATTAATCTACCACATCTATTGACTTCCAGGACCCACCGTGGTGCTCATATCGCATGATTGGAATTATCTGCCTCTACCGTGGGACGCATTGAGTAATAATCACGTCGAAAATAATAAACATAATTTTGGTCATATTGTATTTATGTATTTATTTTTCGTTTATAAAATCAAATCGAATAATAGTAATAACAAGAATAGGAGATGATTTAATATCCAGATAATCGCAACCTTGGTCTCGACAGGAGTTATCAAGCTTTAGCACCAACCAGGAGACAACCAGGAGACAACCAGGAGACAACCAGGAGACTCTTGACTTCTTGTCCTTCACCGGCAGTGGATGATGTCTGGGTTCCGCCTGCGCGGGGTACGGCCCAGTTAAGACGCCAATCAACATGTGTCCGTCTGGCCTGCCCAGGAGGAGAACCTTTCCCAGACTGGAGCCTTGCATTTCTCGCGTTCCTATTTTCTCCTACCTTGCGCATGGCTTCCCTATCGAGGACAACTTCCCGAAACTTTTTTTTTATTTGTTCTCTAATGGATTTTGTTTTCCACGGTGGCTGCTGTTCTGAAGATAGGCTTGTTTTGATAAGTAATCCAGTTGAAGGTGACATCGGATCACCGGTGTTATTTCGCTCTTATGCGTTTTTGAGTAGGTAAGGTAGCATCTACGGTTGTACGTCCTACGGACGTTGGAGTAGTACTATCTTCTTTTTCTCATGCATAATGGAGAAGCGCGATATCTTGCTAGGGCAATTGACCCCCGAGCTCGTTTCTTTGCTGGTAACCTATCGGAATCTTGTAATATCTCTGGGTTGATAGATATCAAGTATCCAATCTGAGTTCTGGTCCTGTTTTTCTTTCCTTTTTCCATTACTTCCTTCTACTGTCTAATTACCCAATTGATATATCTGTAACTTAATATGTAAAGAACAGTTCTCAACTTGAGGTTGTTGGCAAGAGAGATAAATGATATACTTTGGAGGTAATTATTACGTACCATGATACTGAATACGTTGCAAAAGTACGTCCTCGTTACCGGAATGGCGTAATAGTTATGACCATTACCGTTCAACGCCCTCTCACCTGACTTCAACATTGCATACACTGAGGTCATAATCGACCTATCAATTCCCTCTGTGTCGCCTTCATGAAAGAGACGTTTGTATCGTACCCAATACTGAGGTCGATGACCTCGATCATCATGCCTAATATGACCATCAATCTCTATCGACGTGAAATACATATTCAATTAGCGCAGCTGGAAATTGAAACCTAATGTCCGATGGTCTGAATTCTCCCATGACCTCGATTGGGCTTCTTACCCTCGTGTTCTCCACCGACGCGTTCCTGACTTGCGCAGTGAAAGGTACTAGCCCGCAGTAGTTGCGTACCGGGTTACACAGCCAATACATACGATATATTACAGGATTGCATTGGCAGGAGGAAGAGGACAATAAGAGATAAAGAGATCAGATGCAACAGAAGATGGCGAGTTGTTGTGACCTTGGAACACTGGGAAATGCACTTTCCAGGGCAAATATAGGATGGCCAGTGATCGTGAAGGTCAAGACTTGACCCCACTAGCAATTGTAGTTTTCATTGGCACATGTACCATCATACTTCGGTTGGGAGTTTTTTGTTCCCCCTCTTCTCTGGGCAGAGAGGCCTGTAAATATACTGGTAAGAGTAGCACAACCTGGGGGTTGGATGAGGTAGTATGAGTGGTGACAGGCTTGCAAGTGACATTACAGTATCTTTCCTCTTGATTTCCCACCAGTCATTGTTGTGTTTTTTTATTTATTATATTTTTTTAATTTATATTATGCTTACCCATCCTTACCCCCATCCACTCATAAACAACAACTCTCGTCTAACCGAAGTGCCTTCAGCAGGCAAAGAAAGCTATCACCGGCATCAACCGCCCTGTCAATATCCTATTTGAATCTGTCCCGAACGCTATTGGTTATTCTATTCGAGATTTAATCTAAACGCCATTACCATCCCTAATTTTCCCCTAAAGCTTTTTCTGGGATTTTCCTCCGTGGACCCTGCACGCGCTAGGTGGTTGTTTCCCCCGGCCTGCGCTACACCCTCTTTTACACTAGTCTGGCGCTATCGGGGCCTCCTAATCCCAGACCGTTCAAGCCGTTCCTCGGGCACGCCATTCCTAGCCCCATCTTTCATTTGTGTTCACTAAGGCCTTGATACCTCCCCCTACCCACGCTTCCCGAACGTTGGCCAGCGATCTTGGTTTAGTACCCACGGGCGCATACGCTAGGTTCACCAGGTCCTCCTTACGACCAAACTCGACAAGCACCGTCCGTCCCGAATTGCGGGTAGACTATCCAAGCTCTAAAAAATCACCCCTTACTATATCGAGTGATTCTTTACTACTTCTGATATAAAGCTTTGTTACACCTTAACACCACCACACGGCTAGAAGAGCAGGGGAAGATATTCCCAAGGGGACGGGAGGGAAAATACACATAACAAAGGATTCAAAGAAAAAGAGAGAGAAAAAAAAAAGGGGGGGGAGGTGTGTCCAAGAAAAAAATATAAAAAAATTAATTTCGCCACCCTATCGCGGAGTGTTCCGCCTTCAGGAGAGATAGAAAAGAGGAGGGAGAAGGGGAGGGAAAAAAAGAATTACCACAGACAAGGAAAGCTTAACCGGGTCACGAAAAAGCACAATACAGGTGAACAACTGAGGGGAAGGGGGCCAAAAAGAAAAAATAATTCCTAATACTAATTGAAAAAAAAAGTCTCTGGGGCCTGATATTTCATTGTGAAAAAGTGGGTCGAGGTACTGGCAACGGACCCGTCACCACAAAGCGCGACAGCAATACTCTTTCCCAAGGGTAAGAGGGGGAGAAAAGAAAGGGAAAGGAAAAAGAGAAACAGAGAGAGAAAGAGATTGAGTGAGAAAGAGGGTGAGGAAGAACAAAATAATTAATCTTCCGGGTTCCCTTCAGTAACAATACCAAAACCGCCCCCCCTTCTTACGATATTACCATTCGTTACCTTTCTCATCCTTTTGTTACTTTATTTTATTTTTATTTTTATTATCTTTTATTTTTGTTTTCTTGTCCTTCAATTACCTTCTACTCATTTCTCCAGAGGGGAAAGGGGAAAGAAATTAAAAAAAAAAAAATTGTTGGCAAGGAAAAAAAAAAAAAAAAAAAAGAGAACCAAAGAAAAATTACGGGCCCACGCGCCGCTCCACCGCACTCTCGGATCCCACGAGGTGCTCTAACTTGCGATTTTTCCTCCTGCCGAAAAGCCTCTTTTTTGCTTGTCCGTCCGAAAAACCTTTTAGGTCGCCTCATCTGCTCAAGTCTCTCTTTTTTTTCCCGGGTCGAGTTGAACCATTTTTCCTCCGTCTCGATTTTAGGGTGATTGTACTACTGTGTGGCCACTCGTGGATCGAGACATCGCTCTTCGCGCTATCACCCGTTTAAGCAGTGGATTCTGGGACCTAAATTATTTTATTTTATTATATTACCCATTTCTACTAGTTGGTGCTAGGCTATCGACGCTACTTTTTGGCTCTTGGCCTGGCTGCTTTCTAAACCCTCTACCCCCAAGCTTGCCCGAGCGCTCGACAGGACCGTCTCTTTCTTTCCCGCTGGTTCCTCGTGCTGTCGTGTCGACCGCCACCCTGCAAGGCATTCTCCGTCACCCTAAGAGGCGACTAAGACGATTAAGCATCGCGATCCAACATCTCCGTCTGGAAGAGTCACTACACCCTCATCCTTTTCCCTTTTGACTCCTAATACCCAATCCAGGTGTTTTTCTGAATTGTGGTGTTCTCAGTGTGACTATTTTCACTTTAGTCTCACGCGTCTATCCTTTTTGTTTTTTTTTTTTTTACCTGAATTGTTCTTTTCCCCTCTTTTCCACCCAACAAACCAACATTTGCGAAGAGCAGGTCAAGTGATCATTGCTCACACGACGGAATCTCAATTCACTAAATAGTACGTGACAACAAGGAAGGATCTCTAGAAGTATTCACGCTACGGGGATCGTGTTCAGAGATCTGAACCATACTTTCTCCCCTTGCCTCATACTTGGCCCATATCGGCGCATCTTACCCCAAGTTTATCACGTTCACAAAGCTCATTGTGTTATTCGACGCGTCTACAGACAGGCACGCGAGTTTTTAGCTTGGAGAATTTTGTCAGGGATATTTATCCGGTAACGGCGCAAAGTATATTATATGGACAACAGACCGGCTTCGGAGTACGCGCAGTCAGGTTCGCACTTTCCATATCCACCGTCTGTCGCGCCCCATTCTGAACTTCCAGCTGCAGACCAGGCATCTGCTGCTGCTACTGCTCAATACACGCCTCAGCCTGAGGTGCGCCCCAATCCTCAATACACACCGCAACCCGAGGTTCGCCCCGCCGCCAATATTTCCTCCTCCAACACGCCGCAGTCAGACTACGGTCTGAATCAGCCGCCACCAGCCGCGCGCTCTCCAGCTTATCCTGATTACCTCGCCCGCCCGCCCCAGTACCATCACGCGCCGAACACACAGGCCGGTGGTGCGGCAGGTATGGCTCAAGCAACAAGTCCGTCTATGCATACCCTTCATGATGGGCTGCAAAATGACCATCGCAATCACACGAACGTAAAGTCTGACGCGGACGTTCCTATAGATCCCTCAATCGCGGCCTCTAGCCCCACCTATCCTCCTCCCTACTCGCCTTATCAGCCACAGGGTCATGACATGGCCCAGTATCAAGGTCACCCTCCTCCGCCGCCTCCACAGATGTATGCGCGTCCAGATTGGTCGCATGGGTATGGTCAACATCAGCACGGTCTGCCTGGACCTTATACCACTCCTGCCACAACGGTTGGTCCCGCCTCCCCTGCTGCGACCGCAGGGCCGCGCCCTGGCCAGGTATGTTTTTGATGATTTTGGCGTCTGTTTCCAAAGGCTGCGCATTCGCGTTGATTATTGTCTTGGACGCCTCCGGAAGTGGGGGCCGCTGCCAGCCTGCCTCTTCTGGGGTTAAGGATGGTTAGCGGCGCGCTTTTTTCATCTTTAACTTTCTCCTTTATTTTCGGGGTTATACTGTCAATGGTCATAGGCTCATCTGGAAATTTTTAGGTCTACTCATTCGTTCCGATCCCCGGTGCGCAACAGCATAAGCGACCACGTCGTCGGTATGAGGAAATTGAGCGTATGTACAAGTGTGGATGGAATGGCTGTGAAAAGGCATATGGCACACTGAACCACTTGAACGCGCACGTTACCATGCAGTCTCATGGAGCCAAGCGAACTCCTGAAGGTATGTCCCTTTTTATTTTCATTTCATTTTATTTTATTTTTTTTTGGTGGGGGGAGAGGGTTTTCTGGGGGACATTACTGGGATTCCTTTTCCAGGATTTCCCTGTGTTTTGAGAGGGGTCGCGGATATCTCATTTAGGCTAGTGCGGGTGCCACGCGCTAGTCGAGTTACACCGCTTTAGCGCGGCGGGATCGTAGTAGCGTGAGGAGCCGGTGTGGAGGTTAACCTAAAACCGAAGCTGTCCTCCATGCCAGTGACGTCGCTTAAAGCTGCTCCCATGTCCTTATTTTTTCCTTACGGGGACTTTACTACAACACATGGTGGGGAAATAGGGCTAACTAGGCTTCCTAGAATTCAAGGAAATTCGTAAAGAGTGGAAGGCTCGCAAGAAGGAGGAAGAGGCTCAGCGCAAGGCTGCCGAGGAACGCGAGCGTGCTGCTGCTGCTCAGGCTGCGCAAGCCAACCAAGTTGATGCTCCTGGCCCTGGCGATCCGGCGCAGGCCGGTCAACCTCCCGCCTACCCGGGCAGTGTCCGTCCTCAACTGCCCCCGATCGGGTATCAGCCCGCTGACGGCCAGGTGCCTGGTCAGTACGGAGCTCCTGGCGGTGGCATGGTTTATCAGGGCAACGGACAGATGGCCTATCCTCCAAACTACCCTCACTCGCCTTATGGCCAGAGCGGTCAAGTATACCAGCAACGTAAGTAGTCAGTCCTTTGTGTTTGCATTATTGGTTAGGACCGGGCCACGAGGAATCAAAAGAAAAAAGAGAAGATGTTTCGACATGACCAAACACATCATGAGAAAGAGATAAAGGAAAGTTCGGGAGGAGAGGTCCTCTGGTCTATCGTTGTACGGGTTGTAGCTGATCGAGGATGGCTTTGCAGAAAACCAATCGACCAGCTACCCGCAATAGATATCCAACTTCCCTCTCTTCTCTCAGCTTGAATATTCTAATACCAAATTCTCCTAATCGTGTATCGCCACCCCCGGATCTAATTCTTTAAAGTCTTGCGCACATGATACCATTTCCTGGCCTTGATTGCTCCAGTCAAAAGAGTGGCCATGCGACTTACGCTTCTGTCCCAGTTATGTTTTTTTGAATTAGATCGCTTGACAAAAGGGAGAGAATCTCCTTTATCGGGGAATCCCACCTTTGTTTTTCCCTCGCGAATACCGGCTATAGGATTGTGATTTGAGATGTCTGGCGGCGGGGCAATCTGCATTAGCTGATGTTCTTTCCCTTTCGCTTGTTCGATTCCGTTTGTTCTTCATGCGCTTTATTCCCTGTGGATTATGCAGATCATGTTTCTATTAAATTCACCTTTCTTCTGTATGTGAATTATTTGTTATGGCCCTTGCTTTCGTCTTCGACTGTCCTCCCTGCTTCGGCCAAATTTATGTTACCCTGGGTTTTGGTCCCCTAAACTGTGCATTATTTTCTATGGTCCATGGCCTTTGTTCATCTATTTGTCTGGTCATGGACTGGTGGCTACAGTCTTCCACGCAACTCGGAACTTTCTCCTCTTTTGCATTTCTTATGAACTTCTGAATACCTACGATACATGTCAATAATTGTGGACATATTTGCACGGAAAGTGCGCCTTCAGATTCACTATTTCCTGCTCTTCCAAAGACCGTAAATATCTTAGTTAAATCAGTACTTCAGTTGGTGATGTAGGAATGACGCGTCGATTGAGTTCACGGCTCCCACCCTGAAGCAAAGTGTGTTGTAGTGAACATAGATATAAATATAAATATATGTGGAGTACTAGTGAAGATGTATAGCAAGAATTGCAATACGACTATGTAGTCTTGTAGTCCAAGCTAACTCCTAGTATAAACTTAGCACATCCGGGTATGCGAACTGGTGTAGGGCTGATCATTGAATTTTACAGTTAATATGCATCAGAAAAGGCGGGCTAAGATTTAGTGGTGCGACCATTTCAGCCAGGATTACTAGTACGTAGTACAAAGCATGTACAATGTAAGGTTAAGCTGCTAAGGTATGAGACTAGGCTAGTAGATCTGTAAGTTCGGAACCTTCTCTGCCCACGAGGCACACATGGTTTGGTTTTAGGTTATCTATGGTTAGGCGGGGTTCCCTAGGCCCGAGAGGCTTGCCATAACAAACAAGATGTTGGTCGACTAGCGGCTATTTCCCTAACTATCTATTGAAGCTAAGACGAAGTAGGGCATCCTGTCACTGCTCAGTGACATGTCTAGCGGTTCACTTCGCCACTAGCGGCGAAAGAGTGTTTAGTGTTTAATGCCTGAGGCGGACACGAGACACAGGCCTTGCGGCCTGAGGCCAATTAGAACGGAAGCGGAGATACTTTCCCAGAAAAGCTTCTAGAAAGTTCTAACCTCATTTCGATTAGCGTTGACCAGGCCGATACGATACGGCGATAATTTGCCCAGCTATCGGAGAGCTGCGCATCCATGAGAGAGGCTCGCCTTCCTTTTTAATCCGCCTTTATTATCTGCTGCTTGCTACAGAGGCTGTTTGGGTTTGCGCCTTTGAAATTATTATTGTCTATCTCTCTCTTTTTTTTACAATCACCCTTTTTTCGCTACCTTGTATATCGCTCTAGCCACCCATTATCGCCTCCCTTCACGATCCCGTTATCCTGCCGAAAAGTTTTCCTTGCTCAGCAATAAGCCTGCGGAGGTCGGTTTAGGCCTACTAGACAATCATATTGCTGGACAGATTAGTGATACGCGAGGGACGGCTGGATTTCAATCTTGTAATTGGGTAACTCGGCGATTTGTCGGTCTCCGCTCTTTAAATGCTTCGTTGCACCAATGCTAGTGCTCTTCGGACGGGCGTTAAGAGCTGCCCGTTAACGAGGTTATCTTTTGGCTCTAAATGGTCCAGAGGTGCTTCGGGAGGCACTAGGGGCATTTCTCTTTCGTACCCTGCTCCGAGAGGCATTGCGCCGGGACAAATTAGTGCTTGGAGGGTACCTGTTGGCGCCAAACGATACTCTACAAATTCTGAAGCTACAAATGCTGGAAATTCGGAACCTGTTTCTGTGAGCGAAGAAATTAAAGATCCAGAATCCGTTGCTGAGAGTGAGGAGTTTGAAGATTCGGAGCCTGTCGTTGCGAGCGAAAAGTATGAAGATACGCTTCTAGAGTCCGACCAGTTGCTGGAAAGTAAACAAGGAATTACACACGATGACCTTCTGCTCTCGATTGCGAAGGCAGGCACTTCGCCGAAGACTCGGGAGGAATTGGATGGGACCATGTCGGTCAAAGTTTCTGGGAAAGTTGTCGAAATGGAGTTGAAATGGTTGAAGGATCCTCGGGCGCTGTCCGACCGAGTTGCAAGGCTTTTGAATGCCAATGACGTACTGTTGGCTGTGGCGTTGGTCCGCACGGCACAAAGAGAGCGTATGGAGTGTACAGTGGCTTGGAATCATCTCATGGAGTATTGTATGAAAAAAAACCATCCGAGGGCTGCGCTTAAGTTCTACAATGAGGTGAGATATTACTACTGTTCATGTGAGATTTGCGTTTTTGCTGGCAGCAGGGCTGACAATGGACTTCCAATTTACAGATGAAGAAGCGAGGACGAAGGCCTAATTCAGTGACGTACACAATCATGCTGGATGGCCTGTGCAGAGTAAGCAGGGACGCCGGCGTCCACCCCGTCAAGACTGCGTTCTCTATTTACAAGTCTATCTTTGCACCCAATTCAACCGTAACGCCAAACCTTATCCACACCAATGCGATGCTCAATGTTTGTGCACGCCATCGTAATATGGACAGCTTATGGCGGGTCGCTGGCGAACTCCCTGAAGACGGGCCAGGCTCTCCAGACTGCACGACATACAGTATCATCCTGAGAGCTATCTCGGATGCAGCCCAGGCGGATGTAGAACGGATGAAACCCTCTCAGGTGGAGCAAATGCTTGCGAGGAAAGCCCAGGGTGTCAAAGAAGGCAAACGGATATGGTCCGATATTATTTATCGATGGAAGAAGGGGCAGCTCGAAATGGACAACCTCCTTGTGAGCGCGATGGCTAATCTGCTCCTAGAAGCATCTACCGATCGGGGTTGCTACGACGTTTTCGCGTTGATTCATCAAGTCACTGGAGTTCCAATTCTCGCCAAAGAGCCTTCAGATTCCTCTTCGAAACTACAAAAGAAGAGCAGAGGAAGCCACTTAGAGGAAGATGTTCCGTTCGTGGATGATAGTGAAACATTGTATCGACCATCGGAGGCGGAGCCAGAGGAGCTCAAGCAGGAAGAGGAAGAGGAAACATTTGAAAACGTGTTTGACCCTATCGTTGGCCCGGGACCTTCTTTTATTTCTGTGGGGAATAGGGAACTTTCACTGATCCTAGAGGCTTGCTTAAGTATGACTCAAGGAATTGGTGCTGGAAAGGCTTACTGGCAGCACCTTACCCTGGAAGACACCCACTATAAGATTGAGCCGGACGGAGGCACGTACCATCAATATCTCCGACTTTTACGGCTTGGTCATTCCAGTCGCATTGCCCTTGAGCTCATACGCAACCAGATGGTCCCCGCCCAAATGACGGAGGGGCGATCTTTCCGGATCGCATTTGCGTGTTGTCTCCGTGATCGCAAAAACATCAACGTTTTCAAAAATGCCAATGGGCTCCTTCATCTCATGGAGACGTCACTTGTGCTTCCTTTTCCTCAGGCGTTGGGAGCTTATCTCGACCTAGTCCGCATTTTGGGTAATAGTCCCCAGCTCCTTATGTCATTGAACGGCATCGACGGGAATGGGAAACGACCGGCCGGTGGCCTGAGTGCTCTGGGCCAGCAGTTGCGCCTTAATTTACAGACAACCGCTGTTGAAGCTCTGCGCCCTTGCGTTGTCAAACTCGATAAAGCTATGGAGCATGGCTTAGTGTCTCCAGCTCCAGCCAGCAGCCGCGGTATTCGCTCTAATAGTGCTGATGAGCATGCCGTCTCCGGAGAGGAAGCTCTCAAGGTATTAGCCACGGTAAGGGGCTTGATAGACGATATCTTGAAGCCAGCGAACTCGAAGCTGCTTTCCAAAGAAACTCGCGCCCAACTCAAGAAAGATTCCCGGGATTTAAGGAAATATTCCAACGCTGAGATTACCATGAAGTACAATAATACTCTGGTTTCTCCGACTTCCGAACAGATTCTGGCGTACAAAGATCAGAATGTTGGCGAGGATTCCTTAGATGTTGACTGAGTTCAACGACGAGTAGTGGGAGCTCTTGCAGCCCGCGCAACTAATAGTTTTATGACTTGTTTGATGGTTGATACTACCTCATACTTGCATGCATATACAGGCGTTGGTATATAGTCTTCAGTGTACACTATCATGGTTGGCAATGAGGTGGTTTATATGTACAAATATCGGCAATGTTCATGTAATAATAGATATTCTTATACATAAAAGACATCTCAATTCTGTTAGTTGATTCATAACCGCCGTAGTAGTATTGATCCGGGATATTCATACTCTGACTAGCCTGAAGCTTTCTGCATAACTGAAGCGTTACAGCAGCTACCCTCTCTCTCTCTCTGCTTGAAAAAAACAGCGAGCTGCACATTGCTCAACAACTGACCACATAATAGAAGATAGAATGTAGTAATTTCCGGTGATTTTTACAAGCACTGAATACAGTTGTATGTCAAATTTACTTACACCATGGTCAAGGAATGTAGTTAATGAAAGTGATAAGATCCACACGTTTCCGCCTTCCCCTTTCAGCCCGTGCCGCGTACGTAAGACGTGCATTATGCCACTGTAGCCTCTCTCCCAGGAACGAGACAGCTCATATCGTGACCTCTACCTCCCCATCTCATTCTTCTTCGGCGAGTTCTTTTGTGCTTAGCGAACCAACGCTTGGTGCACTCAATAGTCCAGTAGCTCTGGTAGCTCTGGTAGCATCTGGATCAATAAGCAATGCTCCTGTAGTGCTAACTTCTTTCCGCGATCGAACTCCGTCTCATTATAACAAACGATATCTACCATGGCCAGCGCATCATATACTCATCCCCACGGGGATCTGCGCGATGATGAATCAATTCTTGATGATGATGTTATTGAAGCTGATGATGGTGTGTTTCTCACTGCCCCTCGGATGGAGTCGTGCCCCTTGTTGACTGCCGCTGACCCTTCTGCGCTTTAGCCATCGACGCTGATGACCCGTTACACGATACCGACACCACTCCCTTAAGAGGCAATATCCAACCCGAGGCATCGAGCTCTCGAGGTGGAAACCTTTCCGGCAATTACCTGACATCCTCAATCCCCGGCGAGGACCGACGCGCCGCTCAGAACACCATCGATGAAACGGTCTGGGAAACGGTGTCGCGCGACCTGCTGGCAGTCTGGGAGAAGATGCGCCAGGTTTTGTGGCCCAAATACCTGATGGGTGGGATGCTGCAGCGGGGTGGAGGAGGCATTGGTGGTGCAGCCGAACGAGGAGAGGCCACTGGGTTTGGTAGTGGTGGTGGTCTGAGGAATCTCGTGGGCCGCTGGCCGGACGCCGATACTGTCTTGCAAGGCGGAATGAGTGAAGGTCTACGTGACTGGGATCTCTGGTAAGTGATTAATGGCAGCATGCTGCTTTCTTAACGTAACGCTTCTTGATCCTACGGAAATACTAATAAGAACCGCCTTGATAGGGGTCCGCTCATTTTCTGCTTGCTTTTGAGCTTTTTCCTGGCAATGCGCGCAAAGGGAGATCAGTCAGATCTGGTCTTCTCCGGGGTGTTCTGTATCGTGTGGATTGGAGAAGCGGTTGTGACTCTACAGATTAAGCTGCTAGGTGGGAATATGTATGTGCACCTATGTCTTCTAGGGTGGTCCCGGGAATGGTTACTGATGCTGTGTTCTTAGATCCTTCTTCCAGTCCGTCTGCATCATCGGCTATACGCTCTTCCCTCTCGTCATTGCTGCCCTTCTCAGTGCGCTTGGCCTGCCGACTATTGCGCGGATACCGGTATATCTTGTCTTGATCGCATGGTCTTTGGCGGCGGGTATCAGCATTCTTGGTGGATCCGGAGTGCTCAAGAATCGAGTCGGTATCGCAGTATACCCACTGTTTGTGTTCTACATTGCGATCGGTTGTCTCTGCTTTATCAGTTAAGAGGAGGTGGTATGAGATGCTGGCGATGTAATAGCTCGGGAATCAAGCAGCCTTTGTGATAAAAGGGAAGTGCTGCAAGCCAAATGGTAATGGGCGTGTGAAATCTACTTATCACTTGATTATTTTTCTTTTTATCCCACCGTTGTTTCCTTGAAGCTGTGCTTTGTTTGCTTCTCCCAAGTGTATTAGATTATTGCATGCTAAGATATCCAATTGAGAAATGTTTCTTATCCTCGATCTATTGTTGTTGTTGTTGTTCTATCAGATTAAAAGTGTGCCGAGAGATAAACTAACTAGTAGTAAGGCTACTGCGGGGCGGTGACCGGACGACTGCCGACGACAACAAAGCAGTTTGTCGTCACCCGTTCGTTGGTACGAATCGGCCGCTTCTCGACCTGCACCTCTCCCACTAGTTGGACCTCTGCCTCATTCGGTCGCTTTTTGACTGAGACCGTTAGAACTTGGCATCCGGGACTCCTTCTTCTACCAGACGTCCTCCAGCGATCACCACACAGTACCTACCACCTGATCAGATCGTCGTCCCCACGTCGATCATACAGCTGAGGAGCGACCTTTTAGCCCGGGAAGACATCCCACATTCGTTGGATTGTGCAAATCTCTCTTCGTCGACCTCCGCTGCAACTTCTATAGAGACAACCGAAAAGTTTACGACATGGCGACTGACTCGGGAGATAATGTTGAGGTGAAGGGTACATTACACTGTCGTGCAAAAGTATCGGCTGAAAAACTGACGTGGTGATCGCACAGATGATGCTCGCGTGGATCCAATGGACACTAAAGGTACGCAAATATTCTGAAGCCTGTGCCTCCTGCGGGCGTCGGGACTCGCGGGTAGCGCGTTTTGTCTAACAGCTTACAGCCACTGCGGATGATTCTCAAGCGTCCGATAACGACAACGCTGAGCGCCCTGTTCGCCACAAGCTAAAGGAGACGTCCATCACCTCGGCCCCGAACGTTTCGACAACCGCCGCTTCCACCGAACAACAACAAGATGGCGAAAATAGCCGTTCGAGTAGCAGGGGTAGGAAGCGATCGTTCGACGATCATCAACCCGAGAATCTAGACGAGGAAAATGGTCACAGGCGGAAGAGGTCACGCGACTCTAAGGCTGATGAGGATGAGGACATTACTTCGTTAAATGCGCCCGATGCAGAGGGAGAGCAGACACAGACCACGGACATCGCCAGAAAAATCCTGAGCCCAAAGAAAAAGAGAAGCCGAGACCAGCTGGATAAAGATGAGCCGAAGGCCGAAAACAACGTCGATGACAGTAAGACTTCCGCAGAAAATGACGCCTCCGAGACGACTGCAGGGGAGCCTGAGAAGAAGCGACACAGGGACGCTTCCGAAGAAAGAGAATCGGCCCCGCCTAAGAGTGCATTTGCAAACACATCTGCTGTTTCGCCTTTCGGCTCGCTCGGTGCCTCGAAGCCCAAGAAAGAAACCTCGAAGCCGGCTGCGACATCCTCATCTGCATTCGCTGCTTCGAGCCTGGCCGCTTTTGCTAGCTCCGAACAGTCACCTTTCGGCGCCATAGGAGGCTCGAACACTTCCGTCTTTAAGTCAGCAACTACTACTGAAGCTACCAAACCAGCCGCTACCGGATTCGCGAGTGCCGCCGGCACCTCCGGGTTTGCGTCTTTGGGTTCCGGATTCTCAGGGTTCAGCGGTGGGTTTGGGGCTGCCGGTTCAAAGGGCGGTCTCACCAGTTTCGCTGCACCAGGAGGGGCCGGTATCCTCGGCAGTTCTAGCAAGGACAAACCGTTCGGAACAGAGGAGGACAAAGAAGAAGCAAAGGAGAAGGATCAAGAAGCCGATACTGCCCCTGGAGAATTCGAGCAGGAGAAGACAGATGAAAGATTCTTTGAACGACCGAGTACGTCGTCCCATCCCAGTCCATCTAACAATCCCCACTGACTACATTCCCGAAACAGTCGAGACAGGTGAAGAAGAAGAAACCACCTACTTCTCAAGCAAGGCAAAACTCTTCCAATTCTCAAATGGAGAGTGGAAGGAGCGTGGAATTGGCACCTTCAAGGTTAATGTTAAGCTTACCGATGGCAAGGAGGACAAGAAAGCTACTCGCTTGATCATGCGCGCCGACGGTGTTCTACGTGTAATGCTAAACACGCCAATTTTCAAGGGCATGAAGGTTGGCGATGCGTCAGGCAACGAACCCAAGTCCAAGCAGATTCACCTAGCAAGTCTGGAAGAAGGCCGATCGGTCCCTACCTTACTGAGGGTAAGTTATATATGCACATGCTAGATCTCTACATGAACAAGATGTTAACACGATGTAGATGCCAAGCGAAGATTCTGCTAAGGAGCTCTATCACGTTGTCTGTGACCTGCTGGAACACCAGTAAGCCCATTATATAGGAATCAGTCCTCAAGGGACAATTACCCGGATACCAATGCTTTGGAACGTAATTGTCGCATTCAAGGGCCCTTCGGTTCGAGAGGCGAGCGTCTGCATCCTTACAGTAGTAGGTTAAGATGGGCTGGCATTTTGCATTTGATACGAGGAGTCTATATTGACTGGAGTGTTGGATGGAGCCATGGGCATGGCTCTACATTAGCTGGCACCGAGGTCTCATTCGACGTACACGTTTTTCTTTTCTTAACCTTTGAATATACACCCACTGCATTCGTTTTGTACACTTATCTTATTTCTTTAATACACCCATCAATCATTTCAGTTCAAAGTTCTGGTCACCTCAAGGTAAATTAGCTCGAGGAGACAGGTGGAAATGTACATTCAACTTCAGAAGCAGACCGCTGTCGTATTTTGAGTGGGTCTGGGTCATGCATGTAGCAAAATGATCTGCCTGCGTGCATAAACAGAGTGAATATATCAGATTATTCTTACCCATTTCTATTATGCTACGGGGCTTCGCTGTCAATGACTAACAAGCCGATTTTTCAGAGAGCATTCGACTATTCGACTTCTCCGGCTTATAGATCCCCAAACCCACTATCCCCAATTCAGTAACATTTACATCCTTATCTCCACGTGACACCGCGTCTCGTCGCCCCAAGACGACCGTGGATTCCATGCTTCCTCCGACCCAAAACTTCATATCTCGATCCATGGACATTGAAAACTTCACAATGTAGCACCAAAATGACCGGTGCCAAACCCCAGACAACCCGCTCCAGCTCGGTATCCAAACGGAAGAAACCACCTGTCGAAAATAGCTCTCTAGACCAAGATGGCGCGTCAACAACCATAACCCCAGAACAACCAGCCAAAGCCAAGCGACGCAAAAAAGTCCAAGATTCAACTCCTCCAGATTCATCAACAACATCCACACCCAAAAGTGCCTCTGATATACTCAAAGGAAACCTGGCATCCGAAAAGACCGCCAAAAAGGGACCCAAACCCAAAACAACGCCACCACCAAAACGCACTCCATCTGCACCATGGCCCGAACCCATCAAGAAACTATCACGCACGCATCGCGCCCTGAATATAGTATACACGTTCTGCTGCACGCGGAAGCACTTCGCCACAACGTTTGAGAATATCAAGAAGGCGGTTCAGGCGCAGATGGGTGAGGAATTGACGGTTGAGGAGATCGCGCGGGTGAGGGCTCTTGTACCGCGGGCGGTACGGTTTGAGTATGTTGATGAGGCGAAGTTGGAAGTGATGACTGTCGGGGACAAGGGGATGGTGGAGACGTATGGTCGGCATGGGAGGTATGAGCTTGATAGTGGTGGCGATGGTAATGTGGAGCCATCTTCACAGACTAAGGCTCTGTTATTCGAGTTCATAGATGGTGATTTGAAGAGGGAAACACAACGATCCAAGTCCGGTGAGGACGCAAAACCCATGCGCAAGTTGAAGGATGAAGATCTGAAGATGCCAGTCTACAGTCAGAAGCAGATGCTCGCGTTAATCGAGAAGCGGAATAAAAAGTTCTCAGACGCGGTTGATGCTTTATTAGTACAGTGTGAAGACGATAGTACTGATCCAGTTGAGAGACTCGAGCGGGAAAAGGATGCTTGGATCCCTGTGCCTCCAGATGATGGTAATGCGATGCCTGTGACGAGTGCTCCGCCACAGCAGATCCCCAAGGAGCGCAAATCTATGGCGGAGATTATCACGGAGATCCGTGAGATGGATTGGTATACGGCACAGATCGTGCCAGAAGGCCATAGGGTGATCGACGCCCAGCCCGCTATTTACGGAGAGTTGGCGTTTAGGCTTTCCCAGAATCTCGTCAATGCCTTGTATAACACACGGGGTATCACGCAGTTCTATTCTCACCAAGCGGAAGCAATCAATCATCTGTACGAGGGTCACAACGTCATTGTCTCTACCTCGACCAGTTCTGGTAAATCGTTGATATACCAGGTTCCGATGTTACATGAGCTGGAAAATGATCATGACAGCCGGGGACTGTATATATTTCCCACGAAGGCCTTGGCCCAAGATCAGAGACGCAGTATGAAAGATCTACTGCAGTACATGGAAGGTTTGCAACATACCATGGTCGAGACATTCGACGGCGACACACCAATGGAGAACCGTAATATGATTCGTGGCGAGGCCCGAATCATTTTCACGAACCCAGATATGCTGCATATCACAATCTTACCACAGGAGACCGCCTGGCGTACATTCCTAAAAAATCTGAAGTTCGTCGTGGTCGACGAGCTACACGTCTACAACGGTCTCTTTGGATCCCATGTAGCATTCGTCATGCGGCGACTACGCAGGATATGTGCAGCTGTAGGGAATCGCCATGTCCGGTTTATCTCGTGCTCAGCTACCGTGGCAAACCCGGAAAGCCACATGAAGGCAATTTTCGGCGTCGAGGATGTCAACCTAATAGACTTTGACGGCTCTCCCTCTGGCCGAAAAGAGTTCATATGCTGGAACACCCCCTTCAAAGACCCCGGCGACCCTACTTCAGGACGTGGAGACAGCGTCGCTGAAACTGCACGACTATTCTGCCAGCTAATCCTGAGAGGCGCAAGAGTGATAGCATTCTGTAGGATACGAAAGCTATGCGAAGTCCTATTACAGGCCGTGCGGGCTGAATTTCAAACCCTCGAAAGACCAGAGATCGGTAGCTTAATCATGGGCTACCGAGGCGGATATAGTCCTCAAGATCGACGGAAGATCGAAAAGGAAATGTTCGAGGGCCAGCTAATGGGGATCGTGGCGACCAATGCCCTCGAGCTGGGCGTCGATATCGGCTCTCTGGATGCTGTCATCACCCTCGGCTTCCCATATTCCATCTCCAACCTACGCCAACAGAGCGGCCGTGCCGGACGCAGGAACAAGGATTCCCTCTCTGTGCTCGTCGGAGACAGATATCCCACAGACCAATACTACATGAAAAACCCAGAAGAACTATTCACCAAACCCAACTGCGAGCTACAGGTAGATCTAGCCAACGAACTCATCCTCGAAGGCCACGTCCAATGCGCCGCATTCGAGATGCCCATCCGCCCCGACGAAGACAGCATCTACTTCGGACAACAACTCCCCGAATTCGCCGCCACACGCCTCACCCAAGATGCCCTAGGCTTCTACCACTGCCACGAACGATTCCGCCCACAACCATCCCGCTGCGTCTCCATCCGCGATACAGAAGACCAGCACTTCGCCGTCATCGACACGACCAACGCCCGAAACATCGTCCTCGAAGAAGTCGAAGCCTCACGCGCCTTCTTCACCATCTACGAAGGCGGCATCTTCCTCCACCAGGGCCAAACATACCTCGTCAAGGAACTCAACCCAGACAGACGGTTTGCGCGCGTCGTCCGCGTCCACGTCGACTGGAACACCATGCAGCGCGACTACACAGACATCGACCCCATCGAAACAGAGACCATACGACAGATCAACCCGACGACAAGCTCGCGCGCCTTCTACGGCGCCGTGCGCATCCATGCCGTCGTCTACGGCTTCTTCAAGATCGATAAACGGGGTCGTATCCTCGACGCCGTAGCGGTTGATAACCCGCCCATTGATATACTTACAAAAGGCATGTGGCTCGATGTACCCAAACGGGCCCTCGAAATCCTCGAATCAAGACACCTCAACATCGCGGCTGCCATACACGCTGCCGAACACGCCGTCCTCTCGCTCCTCCCTACATTCGTAATCTCCTCTCCGGGCGACGTGCGAACAGAATGCAAAGTCGCGAAAAAGGAACTAGGCAAGAATCTACGAGTCGCCGTCGAAGCCCGGAGCAGAGAGACAGAGAATATCCAGACTATTCTCCGACCTCCGGCTCGCCAACGACCCGCACGATTAACTTTCTATGACGCTAAGGGCGGGTCTTGTGGGTCTGGAATTGCAGGAAAGGCATTCGAGTTCGTCGATGTACTTCTTCGACGCGCGGTGGCGAGGATCGAGGCTTGCCAATGTATTACGCCGAAGGGATGTATTGAGTGTGTCTGCGATGAACGGTGCAAGGAGATGAATGAGGTGATGAGTAAAGCTGGTGCAGGGGTTGTGTTGAGGTGTTTACTTGGTTGGGAGGTCGATGTTGATTCGTTGCCGTGGGGTGAGGATGTGAATGGCGAGGATGGGTTGGGGGAATTGGCCGGTGGATTGGAGACGGTTGTTCCGGCTCAAGAGGTTCGGGTTCGGTGACTTGACATTTATACCTGTTGTCGATAATGAGATTGTCTGACGTTGAGTGACTTTGTTGTTACTTCGTCTGCCGAACCCATGTAAGACTTGTACGACGGTAGAAAAATTCGAAGGAAATCGTGATAGATTAGTATCATCGTCTACTGAATGTAGACAGGCTCATGCTTCAATTGGGTATATATATGTATATCTCATGTATATCTGTATGCAAATGCAAGTAATATGGTATGAAATCCATGAATAAGCGAATGTCCCTGTATTCCCGGCTGCCAATAGCGCGGTGCCCAATATTATAATATTACTTTCTTAAGGATCTTTCTTTGTTTTGTTCCCATCATCTCCAGGATCGAACACAAAGATAATGCTAAAATGCATGTCGTGAACGAAAATAAGATGTCGCTCAATGGGTATATGGATTAATAAAAGCAAAATAAATGAAAAGGCTAAGGAAAAGACATTTCATCCTGTCATCAGTTCAAGGGGGTGTTTCGCTGGGATGGAGTTCATCCTCCCATGTATGGAAACCTCCACTCCGTGGAAGCTAATAAAATGTCCAGAAACTTTGGACTATACTGGGACATGGCGAAGCACCAGTCGTGGTTGCGAGGGTTGATAGATGTGCTCTACAGAGCCCTCTGCTGGTTTTCAAGATGGAGCCACAATTCACAGTGGACTAGAGAGTGAGCTCATAGCATTCGAAAGTGTTATTGTAAATGCAGAAGCTTCGGGTCCGTGACCTTGTTCATCGGTCTTCCTGTTCCAAAGGAGAAGAGCTATTCGAGCTCGAGGAGTCATCCAGGCTGATGTTCCAGAACAGTGACCTCATATTGCGAACACTCTCGCGGAAATTATCACGCGGGTTATTAGAACGTTCCTCCGTCATAGACCGCACCTCTCGGATGATATCCGGATACCCTTCGTCGTTAGGGAGCCACCAGTGGTCTATCTCTGGCGACTGCCATACAGTGGCCAATAGCTGCCGGAATTTCGGGGGGACCAGATACCTACAGTCCAATGCACGGTCAGTTATCTGGTTTCTGTGGTACATGTTTGTCCAAGAGGGAGGAAATATCAGAATAACTTACCC